CATGCTTTCAGAAGTACCCGGGATATCGCAAATGGGGGAAACGCATAATTGACTCCATCTTTCCAGCATTGGAGGAATGCATCCTGATCTGCTGTCTCTGGATCCGGACGCCAACTGAAAAATGTTTCTAATTGGCGATTGAGTCGTGATGCAAAGAGGTCGTATTGAAACGGACCCCACAGGGAAAGTAGTCATTGGAAGATGTTGGGATTCAACATCCAGTCGCTGTAATCCACTAGGAAACGAGAATGCCAATCTGCTACTGTATTGGAAAGGCCAGGAAGATATTCTGCTCTTAAAACTATATTTCGATCGAAGCAAAAGTGCCAAAAATCTTTGGCAATGTCCACCAGTTGCTTGGATTTTGTACCTCCTAAGCGATTTATGTATTGCTGATATGTTGTCCATCTTGAGAAGAATACAACAATGGGATTTTTGTTTCGCAAAGCTGCGTATAGCGAAAAATTCTGCTATGAGTTCGAGGCAGTTTATATGCATACTTGTCTCTTCTAGAAACCATTTGCGTCCTGTGGAATTGTCTTCACCACGGGCTCCCCAGCCTACTCGACTTGGGTCGGATTCTATAATGAGATCTGGGAATGAAGTGAAAATGGCTCTCCCTTTCCAAATTTGAACGTGATCTAACCACCAGAATAGTTCTGTTCTTGTCTCTGGAGTCAAAAAGATCTCGTCTGAATAAAGGAGACCGTTGCTTAGATGTTCCCTTTTTAATCTTTGAAGAACCCAATAATGAACGGGAGCCAGAAAAATCACTTGAATCAAGGTTGATTAAAGACCTACAATCCGTGCCAGAGATTTGATGGAAATGAATTCCTTCTTCAGAACTGACCTGATCTCTTTCCGAATCGTTTTCAATTTCCGTGATGGAAGACTGAGAGTGGTTAAATTGGAATTCACTAGAAATCCCAAAAATTCTATCGCCTGAGAGGGAGTTAAAATCGATTTCTTGTAATTTATTACAAAGCCAAGGCTTTGTAACAGATTCAATGTCCATTTTAGTTATGAAGAAAGGTAAAAAAAAAATTTAATCTGTTTAGTTTAGAAAAACAGGCATATAATTTCTAATTAGTGGGGTAATAGCTGCTTGATCCAAGGAGACATTTGACTGCTATTTTGGGGTCAACAAGGAATTTTTTCCTAGTTTGTGGCAAAATTCGAAACGCTTCAGACTAGGTTTTTTGCCTTCTTTTGGATCAACAGCAACAACATTTGAATTGAATTTGAATTGCCATTTCTTCTCTTCCCACATGAATTGTACATAATTCTGACATGAATGGTGAATAGGTACTGTAAGGTACGCATCCATCAAATCTATGTTGATCAACCAGTCGTTGAGTATCAAAAGGTCTTTGAGATAATAAATTCCCTCCATTTTGAAATGGTGGTATCTGTCAAAATTGTTTAACCTCTTAGTGACCAGAACGTTTTTCAATTTTCTTACAGTTAAGGACCAGGGCTCTTTTTACATTTCTGCAGTGTTTGTGTTTAGTTGTAATTTTCCTCTTACTCATTTACTGTACCCACACATTTATTATATACAGTTTTTCTCGCCATTAAATGGTCTTTCTAAAGGTACCATTATTTTCATAATATAATTTACTATAAAAAAATTTTTCTAAAATATGATGATATTTTGTTTTAAAAAAAACACACTTTTTCCAACTTTGACCCCCAAAATCTGTTACGCATCTACAACTGCAAAAAATACTGTGCTGAATAGTTTCTAAAGGTTGTCCTGAGTTTAGAAATGCCCAATGATAACATGTTCTTTTGGAAAGTTATAGGGCTATAAGTCCAAGTAGCACTTTGCTATTTCTAAACCATTTTTTCTCAAAAGTACATTGTAACACTGATATCTGTCAGGAATCCCTGAATAACCCCTCACATGTATAATTTTTGTAAAAGAAGACAACTTAAGGTATTAAACTTGGGGTATTTTGACTCTTTTCATGCAACCATTTTACCACCAATATATGCCAAATTTAAAAAAAATAATTGGTGATTCTTTTGACACACATAGCAATTTAAGGATACATGTACGGAGAACTTTAAGGGTTACTGCCAAAGAACACCCCAATATGTGTTCAGCAACATATCCTGAGTAAAGTGATACCCCCCATGTATAGGTGTGTTGTGTTCTCTGGGGGCTAAAAGACCTTATTTGGAGGGTGCGCATTCCAGTTTTCCAACTTTGAATTTTCTCAGCTGATCATCATGCACCTATGTCCTATTTGTTATATTTTAGAAGCCGGCCAATGTAATTTACCCCCATCAAACCATATATTTTTGAAAAGTAGACATCCTAGGGTATTTCAGATTGTGGTATTTTAACACTTTCTATGCACTAATTCTACCACCTGTCTTTTTCAAACTTCTGGGTACTAATTTGTTTATTTTTCTCTCACATTGTACTTTAGGCATGGATTCTCAGTTCCTGTTATGTCTTGCTGACAAAGAACACCCCAATATGTGTTCAGCAACATCTCCTGAGTACAGTGATACCACCCATGTATAGGTGTGTCGGGTTCTCTGGGGCAAACAGACCTTATTTGGAGGGTGCGCATTACAGTTTTCCAACTTTGGATTTTCACAGCTGGTCATCATGCACCCATGTCCTATTTGGGACATTTTTGAAGTCGACCAATGTAATTTACCCCCATCAAACCATATATTTTTGAAAAGTAGACACCCTAGGGTATTTCAAGTGGTTGTATTTTAACACTTTCCATGCACTAACTCTATCACCGGTCTTTGTCAAACATTTGGGTAGTCATTTTTTTGTGTTTTTATTCTCTCACATTGTATTTTAGGCATGGATTCTCAGTTCCTGTTATGTGTTACTGACAAAGAAACCCCCAATATGTGTTCAGCAACATCTCCCGAGTACAACAGTGCCCCCAATGTACAGGTTTTATGGATTTTTGCAAACTTACAGGGGTCAACTGTAGGGCTTTCCCCTTTTCCATGTTTGCACATTGAAATTTGCCAGATTGGTTTGCTGGGCCTATGTTGCCTTTGAGACCGTATAACAGCCCAGGAATGTGAAATAACCCCATCATGGCACCATTTTCAAATGTAGACAACCCAGGGTATTCCAAATGGGGTATTTCCAGTCTTTTGTAATAGCCACTTAGTTACAAACGCTGGCTAAAGTTAGCGTTTTTATTTGTTTTTTTTAATTAAAAAAAAATGTAAACACACTGCTGGGCTCCACGTGGAGCAACCCGGAAGTGATCGGGGTATTGCAGTGATGCCTCAACATCGAGCTTCCAGCGCTCTAACTCCGTAAGAACCGTTTTTTGATACGTACCTGATATGTCCTTGGTCAGGAAGGGGTTAAGAAAATGGGAATTGTCGTACTTACCGTATGAAGATCTGAAGTGAGACATTCCCCGATGGCCTCTTGATCTCCAAGGTCTGCCACATAGTGGGAAGAATGGAGTTGTTTGTTGGGTGTCATATGAGGGCCTGGTGGGCTGAAAGGTGTTCCTTGGAACCTGTCTATGCTGAAAGCAGGGGCTGGAAGAGTGGTTCCTTCCTCTTCCAGCCCTTCCAAAAACCTTTGGGTTGAATACTTTCCTCAGAGATGACTGAGCCTTATCAAGGGAGCTAAATAAATTGACATATTTATTAATGTCTTTAATAAGGGATTCTCCGAATAGTAGACCTTCAGCCGCTGGTCCAAGGACCGTCAAAGCAGTGTTTGCGTTTTTGGGTGGCCTTCCCAGATATCCTGAATCCCTGAGCTAAATTCCGTTCTGAATCCACAGGTGACCAGAACTGGTCTGAAGGAGTATTAATTAAGTCAGTTTTATCACTAGGTTTTGAATTGCTTATGGCCTGAGCCACAGACTTTGCAATTGTTTCTTGCATGGAAGACATTGCAGTATAACTTGCAGATAAAAGTGATTTGTGAACGGATAAGTCTACAATATTCTGTAAAGAAGCCTCTGTGAGGATTTCACAGTCATGAGTAGCACCAGGTTTTGGTGACTGAGAAGGAGTTTGTCTAATTTCTTTAGAATTCATTGTTCAATATTGCAATAAATTGTAATTTGTAATTACTATAGTAAATAGTAAAATAATGTTTCAAAAGATTAGGTAAAATCCTGACCGGAAAGTCAAATAATTTCAAACTTATAATAATTACCAACAAAGAGCAACAAAGTTGTGGAGAAACGCTGTGCTGAGGTTATGTGGGTGGGAAAGTTAGCTGAGAGTGAACGAACTGGAATTCCCGCCCATAATAACGTCATCAATCTATGAGGGACTAACTGAAATCGTGCGTGCAGCGATTCACATTAAAAACTGTAGAAATAAACTGAACAGTGAAATACACGTAAATAATAAATTAATTTAAAAAAAAACAAATGGCCGCAATTCGTGAGAAAACTACCGGATGCAAGTCATTTGAAATAAATTAAAAGTAACAATTTGTATGAAAACTACCGAACGCAGATGAACCGCGAACTCACTTCGGATGAAAAGGCGCGAATGCCAGTGTGTATGAACCAAATCTATATATTAAACAAAAAATAATGAGAAAAATATATAAAATTACTTCAAAAAACATACAACATAAAGGAATAAATATATATACAAATATATTTAACCAGACCAGAAGGTATTCATATAGAAAACAGTAGCATAAGTGAATACATATGATAATTATCTCTGCTGGAGCAGCAAAGAAAGAGGAGGAATATTGGGGATCATTCTATATATAGAGAGACTATGCTGGATGCTGATTGGCTACCGAGTGTTCCATTTCAGTTACGCTGTTTTGTTTTGTTTTTTTGTCTTCTATTCACTAAACTTTATTGACAAAATGTCTTTGTTGCTGGAGTTAAGTAAAGAAAGTTAATGCATAATAGGAGCAGCCTTCTGTCTTGCTAAAATATTCACAGTTCAGTGAGTTACCTTGTGACATTCCCAGTCAGAGCCTCAAGAGGGCGCTCCACCACAAACCAGCCCCCTGGCTTCAATGATATCCAGCAGTGTTGGAGTTAATATGGCGGTGGGCGGAGTCACCTTGTAAATCCTCTCCGCTGATTGGCCGCTTCCGTTAACTGACAGCTTAGTTAGTGCCAGCCTGTCGATTAGTTGAGTTTGGCGCGAAATCGGTCACGTGACCCCGAGAGTTTGGCGCGAAAGTCCCGGTTAGTGTCTGAGAGAGCAGGAAGCCGCCATAACCGCTCAGCATGGACCTGGCCGACCCCGCGCTCGCCGCTGCCGCTTCCCAGCAAGTCAAGGATGAGGTGGCCGAGAAATGCCAGAAACTCTTCCAGGACTTCTTGGAGGAGTGAGTACTGACCCGGGGGCCCACGGCACCGGCTCTCAGGGGCCACAGCCTCCCTGGGGCCCACTGCACGGCTCTCAGGGGCCACAGCCTCCCTGTCTCTGGGGCCCACGGCTCTCAGGGGCCACAGCCTCCCTGTCTCTGGGGCCCACGGCTCTCAGGGGCCACAACCTCCCTGTCTCTGGGGCCCACGGCTCTCAGGGGCCACAGCCTCCCTGTCTCTGGGGCCCACGGCTCTCAGGGGCCACAGCCTCCCTGTCTCTGGGGCCCACGGCTCTCAGGGGCCACAGCCGCCCTGTCTCTGGGGCCCACGGCTCTTAGGGGCCACAGCCGCCCTGTCTCTGGGGCCCACGGCACGGCTCTCGGGGGCCACGGCCTCTCTGTCTCTGGGGCCCACGGCAGGGCTCTCGGGGGTCACGGCCTCTCTCTCTCTGGGGCCCATGGCACGGCTCTCGGGGGCCACATAATATGGGGGTGGTATATAATTATGGCTCATGTAATGGATACTGCGCTCTGGAACCTGTTGGCTCTATAGGAGTGCATGGCTTTAGCAGGGATGGCTATTTTATAGCTAATGTGTAATGTGGGTTTCATGATACTATTAGCTGAGCATCATGGGAAACGTAGTCTCCAACAGCTGGAGTTGCCAAGGCTATTCATGCTGCGCTGTGTCAGACTTTATCACAATTAAGGCAACAAAGCAGGATTACTGTATGTATTGTTAGAAATTCAAAGGGAATCTTACACTGTAAGCTTAAATGAGCAAACTAGAATGGAAAACTACTTTATGAACTTATTTTTTGTTTGCATGGCTTGGTCTAAAACTTGAAATTTTACTTTGAATTTCCATCAGTTCACATTGTCATGAGTAACTTCTGTTAAAGGAACACTAAACAGATCTAGGCACACCTTCCTGTAGTGCAGGGGTCCTCAAACTTTTTAAACAGGGGGCCAGTTCATGATCACTCAGACACTGGGGGCCGGACTATTAAAAAAAAAAAAAATGCACACAGATACTCTCAGACAGGCAGACCTATGCACGCAGATAGATACATGCATGCATACGTACACCGCTAATTTAGCTTAACATTTTTTGCAGGAAGGTGGCTGTGGCTGATGGGATTCGGTGTGGCTCCTGCGGCCTGCCTCTCTTCCCTCCCCTCCAAGCAGTACTTGCGGCTGCGGTTTTTATTAAAAAAATAATAATTTATAAAGGGTCCCGGTCGCGCTATTGTACGACTGCAGCGCTGACCTGGCCCCTGAAGATATAGGGCAGATCAGGTGGCCCTGAGTGTGGGTCAGGTTCAGGACCCTGGCGGGCCATTGTTTAAGGACCCCTGCTGTAGTGGTTCTGTTGCCCTGAGCTCCATGGCTTATTTTAAACCAAGGAACCTCTTCAGTCTCAACTGCATTGAAAAAGCTTAAAGGAACACACTGGTATTCCAGACACTATAGTTTTAAAACCACGTTTAGGTGTACAGGCCCCCCTTTTCTACATTTATATGTATTTTTACTCACCTAGCACTGTTTCGGCATTGAAATCACTGGCCACGCTCCATTCCGCTTCCATGGCTAAGATGATCAAATTTGACAATATCACACAATCTAATGCTTTCACATAGGTGGCTATTACACATGCGTAGCAAAACGCTGCAACAATTCTTACAGGGAGCATTCAGCGTCTCTCAGTGTTTTGTTCATAAGGCCTGCCAACAAACTGCTCCTGCTTTCAATGATATTACCATTGTTTTCTTACAAAATCCTAAATTTTGTTTACATTTTTGTTCTGTAATCTATTATGGATAACCTGCTACTAACACAACATAATCCAACAACCAGTCACATGGGAGGTTTAATAGCGTGTGCTGAAAAATAAGTTAATGTTAATTTTTTTTGATTCTAGTTTTCAGGGACAGGATGGAGAAATAAAGTATCGAAGCGAAGCAGAGGAATTGATTCGACCTGAGAGAAACACTCTGGTGGTCAGCTTTCTGGATCTCGAGCAGTTTAATCAACAGCTGGCGACAACTATTCAAGAAGAGTTTTATAGGTGCATAGCTATGTATAGTTGTCTACATTATAATGTGCCTGCACAAATAAAAAGGACAATATAGTCGCCCAACAACTTTAGCTTATTGTAGCAGTTTTGGTGTATAAATCTTGCCCCTGCAGTCTTACAGCTCAGTTCTCTGCCATTTAGGATTAATTCACTTTTTTTGTGCAGCCCTGGTCACAACTCCCTGCATGTGACTGACACAGCCTTTCTAAATATTTCATAAATCATCTAATGTTTACACTTGCTTTATTGTGACTGTTTAATTTAGAATGTCTTATCTTCTCCTCTGTTTATAGCTTGCTAGAACCTACAACAATTTGCATTTAATGTTCCATTTACAGATCAGGAGTTAAAAACTTTTAAAGTAACATCTGATTTAATTTAAAACAATGTTTTATTTTCGTGAAGCTGTCAGTCACAGCCAGTGGAGGTGTGGCTAGGATTGCATAAACAAACAAAAGTGATTTAACTCCTAAATGGCAGAGAATTGAGTGAGACTTCAGAGGCATGATCTATACACAAAAACTGCTTAATTAAAGGTAATCTCCACTGCCCAATTATAAAATGTGATAAAATAGACGTTTAGTAACGTTGTTTTGGGGACTATAGTGTCAGTTAATGATATTTAGTGTTCTGTAGAAGAGTTTTTGCAGGTGTCCAGTGATTGTTCTTCCTTTGTAACAAAGGTCAGTAGGTGGCTGGTGCAATACCCTGCATAAGAACAATCTTCAAAACCATAGACTCTCATACTGGACTAAAACCTTTCAGATTGCCAATAGCAGCTCTAAGAATGCAACAACTAGGGACGTTCATTCCTCCTGAATCTTGACTTACAGGATGATTAGTTTGACATCTCCTTTGAAGTATGGCATACCTTTTCATCGAGCAGTGGTTCCCAACCCAGTCCTCAAGTACCCCCTAGCAGTCCAGGATTTAATGTCTACCCTTACTTGAGGACTGGGTTGGGAACCCCTGATCTAGAGCATTAGATCTGAAAGGCATATCCTTGGACACTTCTGTTTGGCTTTTTTAAGGTTAATTCAGGCAACGTGACAGTGATTTAAAGTAGTCATGGTGTCTGGATTATGTACGTGCAGATTCTCTATGAAAACCTCGTAGGAGATTAATTCCTCTGCTGCCAAAGGTATTACACCACCTCCAGTAGTCATTGGGGTGTTATTAGCCAGCCCAAAACACATATTCTGGGTTGCTAATGTCAATTCTGTGCAAATTACAATGATCGGATGCTCATTGATGGACTGAGCAGTCAGCTGATGTTCCCAGCCAACCAAGGTGGCAAGATCTTAAATCTGCCTTCAGAGAGCAGGATTTGGACAGGACGCAGGTAAGTTGTTGAACGGCTTGCCCATTACTAGGGAACTATGCCATGAGGCTGGAGTAAACTTTTAAGTCAGGCTTTCTATCTCTTCTGTAAGTAAAGAGTTGTATAATCATATCTTGCTAGAAAACTTTGTCTAAAACTTGTTCCTTTTTTTATTCATTTCCAGGGTGTACCCTTTCCTATGCAGAGCAGTCAGGTCATTTGCAAGAGACCATGGAAATGTACCACTAAACAAGGAGTTTTACGTTGCTTTCCAAGATCTTCCTACCAGACACAAGTAAGTAACTTGGGTTACTGTTGTAGAAATGGGTGGTGTTGACCTTTATGAATCAAATATGATCGTTCAGCTGTTTTTAACCCCTTAAGGACACATGACTTGTGTGACATGTCATGATTCCCTTTTATTCCAGAAGTTTGGTCCTTAAGGGGTTAAGTATTCTAATTTATATACTTTAGTATTAATGCCAGGTGTCCATATTCAAGATAAAGATGTGAAAGATACCCTTTTTATTTTTGGCATTTGCAATACATCATTAACTGTGTTAACGGAGTCTTATTCCCATCTTTAAAGGACCACTATAGTGAACTGAGGGTGCCCCCACCCTCAGGGTCCCCCTCCCGCCGGGCTCTAGGGGGTGGAAGGGGCTAAACGTACCTTTTTCTCAAGCGCCGGGCGGGGAGCTCTCCTCCTTGGCTGAATGCGCATTCAGCCAGTCTCATAGGAAAGCATTCACAATGCTTTCCTATGGACGCTGGCGTCTTCTCACTGTGATTTTCACGGAAGCACCTCTAGCGGCTGTCAATGAGGCTGGATTAACCCTAATATAAACATAGCAGTTTCTCTGAAACTGCTATGTTTATAGAAAAAAGGGTTAACCCTAGCTGGACCAGGCACCCAGACCACTTCATTAAGCTGAAGTGGTCTGGGTGCCTATAGTGGTCCTTTAATTCGTACATATTTACTTTATAAATATACTTAACTGTGTACATTATGGTTAAAACAGTAAATGTATTTTATATGGTGTACTTTATTAATGTGAATCTGTAATGCAGTTCAATAAATTTAAAATGCTGGAGTGGTATAAAAAGGCCATGCATGGCATAAGATTTCAGTCTGATATATTACAAGTGAAAAAATTAGTCTTGCGTGAAAGCAGGCACTTATAGGCAGTCCCAAAGATCACAATCTTAACACTTTTTTTGTTATCCTCACACAGGATAAGAGAGTTGACCACTCCTCGTATTGGGTCCTTGCTCCGTATCAGTGGTCAAGTTGTCCGAACCCACCCTGTGCACCCAGAACTGGTGAGTGGAACCTTTGTGTGCCTCGACTGCCAGACAGTTGTCAGAGATGTGGAGCAGCAGTTCAAATACACACAGCCAAGTATCTGCAGGAATCCGGTGTGTGCTAACAGGAGGAGGTTCATGTTGGACACGAACAAATCCAGATTTGTGGACTTTCAGAAGGTAATAATATTTAATATGAATTTTCATTCGATTGTGCCTTGGTAATGGTCTCTTGCTTAAAATACTTCATCTGGGTAGCCCTGCAAGTGTTGGCATTCTAGAGTAGGGTTTCATATACCAATTATTAGATGCCTACCATCTGTTTATAAATCCACTGTAACAAATGCTTTTCTGAATTAATGACATGATTGTCTCTTGTTGTAGCTGATTTCAGTCAAAATTTTTGCTCTTTAGCTCTCAAGATCTTATTTGCTTTGTTCCAGGTTCGCATTCAAGAGACCCAGGCAGAGCTGCCACGTGGAAGCATTCCACGCAGTCTGGAAGTGGTTCTGCGAGCAGAAGCTGTTGAATCGTGTCAGGCTGGTGATCGATGTGATTTCACTGGGTCTCTGATTGTTGTACCTGATATATCCCAGCTAACAACTCCAGGTACCCGATCTGCATTTTGAGATTTGTCTAGTAGCATTAGTTTGAATACTTCACCTGTGCTCTCCTGTAACTGCACACAAGCTCATTGTTTCGCAAAACTCTACTGTAAATATATAGAAAAGGAAATATATGAACAGAAACATAGCTTTTCCTCTTCTAGAAATTGTAGCACCCTGCATCTAAAACAATAACAAATTTTCCTCTTGTAGAGTTTTGAGAGACACGGTTTCTTTCGATGGAACACTTGGTAAACAAACCTGACTCCTAGGTGGCAGTGTGTTTCCTCTCCTTGTTTGGAATGTTTTTTTGTTTGTTTTTTGCCAAAAGTATGCACTATATTAAACTTCCAGAACATTGCATATGGAACCTGAACTACAAGTCAATACCCTTTTTTTTAAAAAATTTTTTTATTTTAACAACCTATTAAACCTAGACTCCTTTTTCTTTTCAAGCGGTTTACCAGATTTCCAAAGGTTTCTGTATCCAGGTGGTGGGGCCATTTGTCAGGTGACAATTGGTGTCTTTGCTTGGTATATATTTAAGTGACAATCTTCAATATTTTCCTCCACGTAGGTGTGCGTGCAGAAACCAGCTCCCGGGTGTCTGGGGCAGAAGGTTATGAGACAGAGGGTGTGCGTGGACTACGAGCTCTTGGCGTGAGGGATTTGTCCTACAAACTAGTATTCCTGGCGTGCTATGTCTCTCCAACTAATCCAAGGGTATGTTGCTCTGGGAGCAGATGGAATAAAGTAATTTTGTCATTAAAAAGGACATGTGGGGATTTTTCCATAGCTTAACTATCTACTTATAAAACACAAGGACATTAGACTGCTGTACAGTGCTCTGAGTTACTTTTACCCTTACTGGATAGCCCCAAAACCGTGGGTTCTAAATTCGCTTTGAATCCACCTTTTGATGATACCTGCATAAGGACTTGCCAGAACTGGGATCAGCAGGATAACTGTTTAATTTTACTTTTTTTTAAACTGCATGTGATTAAAATACTATTCTGTAATAACATGTATAATACATGCACAATCTGTCATTAAATTCTATTATGCTTATTTGGCAACAATTATTTATGATTGCTTAGCAGTGCCAGGTGCCTGTTTGCAGATTTGACTAAAGAGGTGTTCTCTCTTTTAGTTTGGTGGAAAGGATCTCCATGATGAAGACATGACTGCAGAGAGCTTGAAAAACCAGATGTCTGTGAAAGAGTGGGAGAAGGTGTTTGAAATGAGTCAGGATAAGAACCTCTATCACAATCTCTGTACTAGTCTCTTTCCCACTGTTCATGGTGAGTCTTAACTACTGCAGATTTTTAGTATTGATTTCTTGATCCTTGTCCTCAAGTAAACCTGCCTCCTAACTTTCCAGGCAATGACGAGGTAAAGCGAGGAATCTTGCTCATGCTGTTTGGGGGTGTTCCTAAGTCGACTATGGAGGGCACATCGTTACGCGGAGACATCAATGTTTGTGTTGTTGGTGATCCCAGTACTGCAAAGAGCCAGTTCCTCAAGTAAGAAAACTTGATCATTCATTAAAGGGATTCTATCGTGCCAGGAAAACAAAGCAGTTTTTCCTGGCACTATAGAGTCTTACAGTGTGCTCCCACTGCGCGGAAGAGGTTAAAACCCCTTTGGTCAAATACCTGAATCCAGTGCCAATGTCCCTCAGCGCTGGATCAGGCTCCGCCCACGCTCCTCCATACATGGCCATTCAATGCTTTCCTATAGGGAAAAATCTTGACGATGGAGGTCCTCATGCAGAGCATGAGGACATCCAGCATCGGATAACGGACCAAATGTCCATATCAATTCAGGAAGTCCCTCTAGTGGCTGTCTGGTAGAGGAGTTAACACTCAGAGGTAATTATTGCAGTTTCTCAAATTGCAATAATTACCACTGTAGGGTTAAGGGACATGGTACATTGCACCTAGACCACTTCAATGAACTACAGTGTCCCTTTAATCAGTGCTCAAAATTTCTAGGGCAGCACTACTTGATGAACCTGAAAGTTACATAATACTGCAAGACTAGAGCCTCTGTGGCATAATCACCAAAAATAAATCTCTGCTCTTCAGGGCTGAATTTTTCACTAGCCAGTTGCTAGTCTAAATATTGAGCAATGCAATATAATTTTTTTTTTTTAATTATATAACGTAAAGCAACAGGATATGGCAAATTCTAATATTTTGAAAAGGCAAACTTGCTGCAGCAATGGGAACAGGCTTGGAGAAATCCAGTGTTTGTGTCAAACTGAGGAGTTTGACAAAGGATGTTGGCACCCACATGCTGTTTGCTACTTCAATGTGTTGTATTGTTTAGGTTTGTTGGCTCAAGTGAATTGTTTTTGTTTAGACACGTGGAGGAGTTCAGTCCTCGTGCAGTATACACAAGTGGTAAAGCATCTTCTGCTGCTGGTCTGACAGCTGCAGTTGTGAAAGATGAAGAATCCCACGAGTTTGTGATTGAGGCTGGGGCCCTCATGTTGGCAGATAATGTAAGTAACCTGTGACTGACCGACCAAATGAGTGCTAAATAATGCCATTTAAAATATTTTGCGTGTTTGCCATTTGACATCAAAAGGTTAGCTCATCTTCATAAAACTGAACACATTGACAAGTCTTCCAATTTGTGTCCCACAATATTTGCAAGACAAACATACTTCAGCTTTTGTAATACTTCACAATACTATCAAATGGCATGCACCATTTCTGGGACTTATTAAAAGAAGGGCTTGTATATAACAGGTTTTTTTGTTTGTTTTTTTACTTTTTTAGGGTGTATGTTGCATTGATGAGTTTGACAAGATGGATCTAAGGGACCAGGTTGCTATCCATGAAGCCATGGAACAGCAGACTATTTCCATTACCAAAGCTGGGGTCAAGGTAAATACAAATACTAAGGACCTGCTGTTTTAAGATTGTCGTTTGTGTGGTGTTTTTTTTTTTTTTTATTTTTTTTTTTATTAATACTTTGCTCTTACTCCTCTAACTATCCAAGGCAACACTTAATGCCCGGACTTCCATTTTGGCTGCTGCAAATCCTGTTGGTGGTCGTTATGACCGGTCCAAGTCCCTAAAGCAAAATGTGAATTTGTCTGCTCCAATCATGTCAAGATTTGACCTTTTCTTCATCTTGGTAGATGAGTGTAATGAGGTAAGGCTGGTTTTGTAACTAAGTGTTACCTGTATAATATCTGTATGAAACATTCTTATAGTGGGTTCTCTGCCAGGATTATGTTACTAAAATGCAAATAAGGTCATTCAAGTAATAGTCATTCTTGATTACATGAAGAAAGTTGTTTGGGAAAACTTTACTTTACAATGAGTACTTATTTTTGTGGTAAACGGTGTGAAGAATTCATTACAATAACACTAAATATAGAATAGAGTTGTAAGACCAATCTAAAGAGTTCTCACACTGTAAATGGTCATTGGGTAAATGCCTCTGGTAAAAAATTTTTAGAGCTCCTGCTTTTTAGAGCCCACTCTTGTCACCATATATTGGTTCTCAAATGTGTTCACTTTGGTTTTTAGGTAACAGATTATGCCATTGCGCGGCGTATTGTTGACCTTCACTCTAGGATCGAAGAATCCATTGACAGAGTTTATAGTTTGGATGAAGTCAGACGGTATCTGCTGTTTGCCCGACAGTTTAAACCAAAGGTATATTTCTCAAATTTGCTGTATATTTTATGGGTGCTCTGTGGGTTTATTTTTCTCATAGCCTTAGTTTTACCATTCATATGAATGTCAACAGATCTCTAAGGAGTCAGAGGATTTCATAGTGGAGCAGTACAAAAGGCTACGCCAACGTGATGGCTCTGGAGTCGCCAAATCAGCCTGGAGGATAACGGTTCGGCAGCTGGAAAGTATGATACGGTTGTCAGAGTCTATGGCAAGGATGCACTGCAGTGATGAGGTCTGTACTAAAACATGCTCTTACTCTTGATTTGTTTCTATATCACTCACTTAAAGCATAGTGCTCTTTCAGCTTTTGTGGGTGAGTGTGTGTGTGCTCTCTCTCTCGCACTTACTGTTGGCTTTAGCTGAAAATAGAACATGAACATATTGGATGACTTGGAAATTAAAGTTTCAAAATGTAATTGAGAGGAAAATATTGGCCCAAGATTTCAGTTAAACCGGTCATATTTCTTATACACAATATTGCCTGCTGTGCTCTTGATTTTGCACATAGGACTGAAACAAATGTGAATAATCAGATAATTTGTACAAAATTATGTCTATTTGAAATCTCTAACTTGCGTGTTTTTGTGTCTCCTATTGGCTATGTGGCTTGACAGCCATATTGAAAGTTATTAAATGTTATGTTTTATTAAACAAAACTGCTTGATTAAACTTTCTAGTGTGCTTTACTTTTGCTTTGGGCCTGTGTGATGCAAAAGTCAATTTAAAAAAAAACACTCGTTTCCTGTGGTTTGTATTGTACAGGTACAGCCGAAACATGTAAAGGAAGCCTTCCGGTTATTAAATAAGTCTATCATCAGAGTTGAAACTCCTGATGTTAATTTGTATCAAGATGATGAAAATGAAGCCGCAGAGGAACCTCAGGGCCTAGTGAATGGTAAGGCACATTACCATTTTCTATACTGGAACAGTATTGATAACATTCTAGGTGGTAACACGCTTGTCTGGTGCTTGCAGGAGATGCTGGTATTCCCAATGGTATAAACGGTCATGTAAATGGTGTTGATGGGCGTGTAGATGAAGAAATGAAGGATGCAACTGCCAAACCTTCCCTGCGTCTGAGCTTTGCGGAATACAAGCGCATTTCTAACTTGTTGGTTTTACAGTTGAGGAAGCTTGAAGGTAAATGACTAAAGGATAAATTCCTATGCAGTTTGTCCTGACTGATTCTCTTTAAATTGGGGTTTGAATATGATCTATGCATAGCGCTAGTCATTATGTATCTAAAATACAGGAATACCAAGTTAAGTAATCTAGCATATAAAGATCACATCATTCTGTGGTTTGGCCAAGTTGGTAAAACTAGAAGAAACTTGCCTTCTGGAGTTAAATTAGTTTTGAAAAGTTTAACAGTTTTGTCCTACAGTGCCTAACCGCTCCGCTTATGACCTCAAGGAAGGCTTGCCATGTCAGCTGAGTCTCTACTTGCTGATCAGTGGCTGCATATTAAGACTAGTAGTAATTTAAAGTCCTCTTAATGGGGAGCCATTGATGGGCAGAGCATCAGCCATCACAAGCTGCAAAGGCAAACCTTCCTGTAATGTACGGGAGGAAGAGGCAGAGAAGATGGGTGACTAACATAAAAATAAATGGTATAACCCTTGATTGTTAAACAATACCCAATGACTCCAGCCCCTGTAAAACATCGAAGTCATGGGGGTTGGAGTCTGACTTTTGAAGTGTTCCTTATTACATTTAGTAATAAACTTAACACACATCCTGTATGTGGTTTTTGTGTTCTACAAGAGTAAATATAGTCTAGAAGGACAGAAAAGGGGGAGAGAAGAAAGTTTCCATGTCTCATTGTTCATACTTCAAAAGGAGCCAGTGATTAAATAATCCATATCTCCAGGGGGATATTTTTCATACATATGTCATAACTATTTGCATGTTTTTCAGAGAAGCCTAATCTGACTTCCCTTTTTTAAAAAATAAAAAAAATTTGCCATTAAAATCTTGTCCATTAAGCTGGTATTCAGACTTTTCAGATTTGAGTATCTTTCACTATAACCACATTGGAGCAATGTACACTGATCTATCATAACATCTGCTTCCCTTACTTAATATTGACAGATGAGGAACTTTCTCAGAAAAAAAGTGAACTAGTCAACTGGTACTTAAAGGAGATCGAGTCTGAAATTGATTCTGAAGAAGAACTTGTCAATCGTAAAATGATGATCGATAAAGTGATTCATAGACTTGTAAACTATGTAAGTATATGTTGTAACTGAGTGTATAACGTAATCATTTTTAAAATATATTTTTTGGAAAGGGGATTAGTGTATTTTTGATGGTGCCCTTGTTTAACAAGTAACTGTGTGTTGGTAGGTTTATTTAAATGGATATTTGATCTGCATAGCAATAGTGAATTTGGAGCTATTTCTCATTTATATATTTACAAAGTCTGTTTAATCAGTTATAGTATAAACAATGTTTCTGGGGTTACAATGCAGTAAGGGGTAATGATGCAATCACTCCTGCTATGTCCAGAAACTAGTTCTCACGATACTGGGCACTTACATAATCCGATTTGCATGGAATCTGTTTGTGCCATTGCAATGCACACACTGACATTTTTGTGATTTTGGTCAACTTTACACTTTGATTTAAGCTGATAAGAAATGCACGGAATTTCCATTTTACAAACCACTAACCTGGTACACATTACTGGTGTGTCCACTCCTAGTGGAAAGATGTCTGCTTCGTGCTTTTTCTTTAAAATAAAGAGGGTACCTCTTGTGCCCAGTCTACCTGCATACATTGCAATGTCAACTTTGTGTGTGTGGTTTAAAAAAAAAAAAAAAGCCTGGCAGTAGTCCAGGTTTTTGCAGGATCTAATCGGGGCTCAAATATGGAGTCTGCGCTGCTTCTTCAGGAGTGTTACAGGGTGAAATTCAGCCAAATGAAATGGTTAATTTTTCTTTGTCTTTTAGGACCACATCTTAATTGAACTCACACAGACTGAACTGAAAAGCCTATCCAGTAAGGAAGAGGAAGCATCGAAAGATGAAGACCCATTTCTAGTGGTGAATCCAAACTACATGCTGGATGACTAGACCCACTGCCGCCACTATCTCTTGTGCTTTAACATAGACTTCTAGAAGCTTCATTTTGCTCAACTCTGCTAGAATTTGATCGGGATTTCCTTTATATCCTCTGCACATTATCAAAGGATGTTACCACACTTGTAACTTGGCATTTTCTTAAGGTCTCTGGACTTGTTTTATTCAGACTTTATTTTAAAAGGTCAAGATCTGGAGTTTATCCTGTTTGACACAATTTTGTGGGTCATACTTTTTGAATTTTGATACTTTTGTATTTCCATCTGCAACTGCTGTAGATTTGTTAAATATATTAAAACATCTTAATTGTGAACGTTAATGTATATTTTGCACTTTGTTCCATTGAATCCTCTGACCGCCCAACTTTTTTCATGCTATGTATCAAAACCATCCTTGTTTGGATATCTTCTATTGATTTGCTTCTGAAAATAATCCTTAAATTGAAATCTAACTTCTAAGCTTAGAACTAGTTATATTTTTTTTTTGTGTTCTAAATGAGGTTTCCCTTAGTTCTACTCTGTACTTTAGCACTGTCTTTTTATCTATCCATATTGTTTCAGGAGGTTCCTTATCTATGTACCTCTGGTAAGACAAGTCAGATGTTTATGACTTGTGTTACAGTATAAATTGTTTCTCCGATGCCTTGGTTAACATTGAGCAGGATGGGGCAGGGTTGGATATTAATCCTAGTTCTCCCTTACCTGTGCCAAGGAGCCAATCTGAAATCTGATGGAAGCTTTGTGGCAATTGCTGGATCTTTGAGTAATACAGGGGATTTTGATGATGTAACTTCAAATGAAATTTCCAGTTGCCACGAAGGTGTCATTCTTCTCCTTAAAGACAAACTTCCAGTTCTCAAGAAATATGGTGCTACTCACTATAAAATACAGCTAGAGCAAAGACGTCTCTTCCAGAAAGGTGGACTGCCTTCCCACGATCAAGTCAAATGCTACCTGAGACTTCTTCAGCTACTTGTTGAAGCAAACATTAATCCAGTGATTGTCTTGCAAGGAGGACCACTTGATGTGCAAGCTAGTAGAAGCTCATCTGATCACTTTGTGCAGTATGCTGATTTTGCCTTTGGCGTTCTTGGGGACTTGGTTCATACATGGATTACATTCAATGTCTGGCTGGAATCCACAGACAACATAAACATAGAAATCTTTAAGAATCTGCTTCATATCCATGAGCAGGTTCATACACTGTATCATAACAAATATTCTGCAAAAGGTGAGTTTTTTTTTTTATATATTCTTGTGTAAAGGTTTGACAGACAAGCTTGTTTATGCCACAACAGCCAATACAGGTATTGCAAGAGGTATAAAATGGCACATTTGTTGGGTAATAAACCGGTTCATCCAAGTCGTGTCAGGTACTGGGAAGGCAATAAGAGCAGGCTTCCCCCAACTCTGGTTTTTTTTTTTTAAATATTTCAATCATTTATTGGCTTACATTATATTTCATACCTGGATGTTTGCTTATGCTGTATATACCATGGAGAGGTATTCCAAGCACCTATCTTTAACCCTTTAAGGACACCACTTCTGAAATGAAAGGGAATCATGATGGAATATTTCACACAGCTCATTTGCCCTGTACATTTTCAAGTGGTACAGAATTATCCCAAATCCCATGATGAAATGGGGAAAAATGTTTTCCTTGTATTAAATGTGTAACTGTTCAAGTGAGTGCCATTTTAGTGTTATATAGTACAACAGAAACTGCAGGAGTGTATTTTTATTCAGTCTGAAATTACGTCTAATTGAATTGGATACTCCTTGAACTGTGCAGGTTTTTTTTTTAAATGTATAGCAATCGCAGTGAATAGACTTTGACGTATCAGACTGCACAGTAGACAATAGATATTCAGAGGTTTGTAAATAGGGATGCACAGAAATGAATTTTCAGGATGCCCTTGGCTGAAAGTTGAGCTGAGATTGCCAGTCATAAATTATTAAATAAAAAAAAATAAAGGAATATATACAGTGATAGGTGAGAATGTGTGGCAGCACGGAGTGCTACAGACCACCTGAGTGGAAACCCCTTACACCACTCCAAGAAATGAAAGCATACAATAGGTAGATCACATGTCGTGATGTTCCTATAAGAAACACAAAATATAGCGTAATATTGCCAGTATCATTAATGTGAACTGATGTGGAAATTAGGTACTCAGAAGCCTGGTACTCATGTTGCGATTTGGCTCCAGGCTAGTGAGTACCTGACTTCCACTTATTGTATGTATAAATTATTAAATACACCACACCAAAAAAAAGGAATAAAATATTGTTACTATACCCACACTGCCAATATGTCACTACACACACACACTGCCCATAATGATATAATATCACTATATATATATATATATATATATATATATATACACACACACTGCCCATAAAATGATGTCAATAGGCACCCTGTTCCAAATTATTATGAAAATATTTTTCTCATTTACCTAAATAATTGTAAATAACAGTACAATTGAAATTTTATTGAACAAACCTAATGATAACAGTATTTTTTTTAAACAAACTTACAATGCACTGTTCCAAATTATTACGCACAGTAAGTTTCAAAACATTTTATAGGTTGTAAAGAACTGAAAATTGTCATTTGTTGTGTTTGCAGCATATTTACTGAAATCAAAAGCTATTTCAATCAAACTTATAACAACATTTTAACAGGTCACGTTACATTTTTTTAACATAGGACCCCTTTTTTGATAGCAGCTTCACAAGTCTTGCATCCATTGAACGTGTGAGTTTTTGGACAGTTTCTGCTTGAATTTGTTTGCAAGATGTCAGAATAGCCTCCCAGAGCTACTGTTTGGATGTAAACTGACTCCCACCCTTATAGATCTTTTGCTTGAGGACGCTCCAAAGGTTCTCAATAGGATTGAGGACTTTCCTTTTATCCCCATAGCCGCCATTGATGCAGAGGTATTCTTTGCAGCATGAGATGTTGCATTGTCATGCATGAAGATGATTTTTATTACGGAAAGCATAGTTCTTCCTTCTGTACCAGGGAAGAAAGTGGTCAGTCAGAAAATCCACATACTTTGCAGAGGTCATCTTTACACCTTCCGGGACCCTAAAGGGGCCGACCAGCTCTCTTCCCAAGACTCTGGGACTCCAGAGGCACCAGCAGCTTCAAATATCTGTTTGCTGCTATGTAATGGTATTTTAGCAGCTGCTCTCTTGATCCGATGCATGGATCTGGCAGAAATCTTCCTCAATGTGCCTTTATCTGCACTAACCCGTCTGTGCTCTGAATCCGCCACAAATCTCTTAATAGTGCGATGATCACGCTTAAGTTTTCGTGAAATATCTAATGTTTTCATACCTTGTCCAAGGCATTGAACTATTTCACTCTTTTTGGCAGCTGAAAGAACCTTTTTCTTCCCCATATTGCATGAAAATTGTGCTCTGCTTAATAATGTGGAACACCCTCCTTTAGTAGTTTTTCCTTAAATTGGGCTCACCTGGCAATCTAATTATCACAGGTGTCCGTGCCCTGAGACGCAATGGCATCCATGAGTTAAACTCAAAAAATATTTAATCTTTGTGACACATAAACAGAATTTGCATAATAATTTGGCACAGGGTGTACTGTACTTACCAATGTTTCCTAGGATGCAGGTAGGCAGGGAGATTGCTGAAGGCCAAAAGCGGTCTGGTCTGCCTGCCAAATGGGGGACTAGTCTGCTCTCTGACTGACAGCCTGCCCCTCCAAAAAACCAGGCATGCTGCTATTACCCAGTCCTCTCCTCCATTTTGAAATCTGCCTACAGATTTTATAATGTGGGACAACCCCCTAGTACATTTGCTGCAACAGTACCCCAAAGTACAGGACTGTCCAGGTAAATACAGGAGTGTTGGCACCCATGCACCCTGACCCCCATGTCCCGGTATAGCAGTTTCCGATGTGCACTCCTGTTACCTGGTTGCGTAGAGCAGGGGAGCATATTGGGTGGTAGTGGGGGGGGGGCAATTTTAAAAAACTATGTATATATATATATATATATATATATATATATATATATATATATATATATATATATATTTGTAGCAGAAAAGCAACAGAGTGTGTAAAGCTCACACCTCAATAAACGACTGTACAAAAGCAATCGTAGTAATGGAAACGTATGCTGCTATTTTGTCCTTTTGTTAGGATATTTTATATATATATATATATATATATATATATATATATATATACAATTTGTTTTTATTATTGAGACCCTGAAGAAGTCTTTTGTCAGACGAAACATTTTGGAACAAATTTGTTTTTTTTATCTTTCATACTTATAAAATAAAGCAGATTATTTTTAATCAGTCATACTCCTCTGCCATCTATATATATGTATGTATGTATGTATGTATGTATGTATGTATGTATCTTGATAAAGACCTGCGGGTCGAAACGTCGATTTTTTCTGCACTTTGATAAAAAATTTCAACAAGCCCTCTGGAGTGCTCTTTTTGCTACTATTTGTCTATTTATCTACGCTCTGCAGCACCGAGGCTTTTTCTGGGATCATTATTTTCAAAGGTAGAGTGCCGGACTTTGTACATTTTTATATATATATATATATATATATATATATATATATATATATATATATATATATATACATAAAATTAGTTTATTCCCTCTTATCTTGGCCAGGGGGAATGGCGCTCTCACCTTCTCAGTGAGCTATGGGCATTCCAAACGTCGGTGGCTATAATCCAAGAAACTCACTTTATATTAAACTCTGAGCCAATTTTATGGGACCGCCGTTACCCCCAAAGCTACTTTGCATCCCACACTTACACCAAGCAATCGGGAGTAGCGATCCTCTTCTCCCACACGACACCCTTCACGTTGCTCGAGCAGAAGGTGGATCCGGATGGTCGATACATCTTCATAAAAGGACGCATTGCTTCCCAGCCATACACCTTCGCCACAGTATATGCTCCCAATGCCAGGCAGCATGTCTTCCTATCTTCTACTCTGTGGCTCCTGGTGGACTTCTCTGACAGGACGTTGGTGCTGGGGGGGTGACATTATTGTCCCCCTGGAACATGAGTGGGACACCTACCGTGGACTGAGCACGGTTCCCCATAGGTTTATCCAAAGGGCACTGAGACGCCTTCCCCTGGTGGACTGCTGGCTTTCCACGCACCCAGAGGGTAGGGACTACACGTACTACTCCTCGGTGCACGATCTCTACATCCACATTGATTACCAGGTCATATCCCAGGGACACCTCACACACCTCAGAGATGTCGATATTGGCAACATCATCTGGTCGGATCACGCGCTGGTCTCCCTCCGGATGGCCTCCCCACTATTAAGACCTACGGAGCGCATGTGGAGCTTGAACGGGGCACTCCTTCTAGACGCCGAGGTGAAACAATCGGTCCAGGAGACCCTACAGCACTACTTTCAGGAGAAGGCCAACCCGGAAACGCCACCAGCTGTGGTATGGGAAGTTCACAAGGGTGATCCGAGGCGCCCTCATTAAAATTGACATGTCTTTTTTTATGAACACTCAAACAAATGTGGGAGGATGCTAGCTCGCATGCTGAAAAAAAAAGACAAAACCTCTTCCAGGGGGCCCAAGAAAATGCTTTGCCCAGGGTCCTATTCATATTATAGACGGCCCTGGGTAAACCTTCTATTTAAAGTCATATCTTGATGTAAATTGAGGGACTTTCACAGTAAGTCAAACAAGGGATATCTGTGACAAAACTCCAACTAATTGCATGATGTTCCTCATGGCACCCCTGTAACTCTGTCCTCTTTGCTGTTTCCTTCTTTCGCCTATCATTCTGCCTCACTCTCTAACCTGACATTTCAGTGTTACCAATGCACATTGCTTAGGGAAGGGAATTACAGGATATTTTCTGCCTCTAATGATTTCTAGAAGAAAAGTATGAAAATGAGGAGTCTTTATAGGGAGTTAATTTCCATGTATTTGTTTATGGTCTCTGTGGTTCTGTCCTCTTTACTGTGGCCCTTGGTCTCTGTCCATCTGTCACTGTGCTGATTCCTTCATTCCTCATCCCTCTGTCCCTTTTGCTGTGTTCCAGGTCCATTTGCTGTATCCCTTGCTTTTACCATAAAGTTCTAAAATATTTCACAGTGTTATAAGAAGGCTGCAAATCAACTAAAAATGGAAAGATAGTGAGATATCAGGACAGAAATATTTTCAGACGCTCCTGCATCAATCTTAAAAGGGAGTAATCATTATTTTGACACATATTCTCTCTTTACTGTTGTAAATCCACCTGAACATACTGTTTAGTAAATAAACCCCACACAGTTATCACAAGGTAACAGATTTATCCCTGAGATGTCATTTATTGTGCTTAGAACTCTGCACATAGATAAGTAATATATGTCATAACAGTGTGTGAATAACAGATAATGTCTTCATGATAACAAATGTATGACCGATCAACACCAAACCTAGTAAAAAAAATAAAATGAAAAAATAAGACTCCGTATTGCTGTCACAATATAATACTAAACAGTATCATTTGGGCTTGCCCATTTAATGTCAGGTACCAGTGCTTTTTCACAGGCCATGCTCCCTCACTTCCTAAAAAGCTAATTCTGTATCATTTTACATCATATCCAATGCTATTTCATATCAATTAGCATTTTTTTTACAGCCACCAGCTGACAAATTCTGCAGATCATTGTTAAACATCGCTAGGCCACTTTTAGTGGTGTTAAACTAAACTCTCTTTAAATTCAAAGGACGCAGGATATAATCTTTTGTTATAATAATGACTGTGTGGAGGTCACTTACCAATTCCCCGCTAGAACTCATGTAATGGAATCACTAACTGTTGGGAAAAACACTTTGGAAAAAGTTAAGACAGCAAATAGTTATTTTCACCTAGAAGCAACTATTGTTATGTATGACAAAATATCTCCATGATCAATACAAATGAGCATGGGTGTCCAGGACCAGCATTCTCCCTTTATGGATAGGGAGCAGGGGAAACGGCTCCAATAAATAGATTCTGCCAATAGCTCCTCTTGTTACTACACTGCATAGCGAGCAAGTTAATACCAAGAAGGTGGACAACTTTATCTGTCCTCTCCTACCCTTGTGCTCTACCATCATGTAGTCTGTGAGATGTTATGAATTGTTAAAGGAACACTCTGAGCACCATAACCACTACAGCATTCTGTAATGTTATCAAACCATTTTCGAACTAGAAGCCCTCTGCCCGAGTTAAATCTGGGGCTTCAAAAGGACTGTGAAGGAGTAAGGTAAGTGACAGGGAGTGTCAAACCATTATGGCACTATAAACACCACATAAAACTGTGTGTTTCTTTAAGCCATGGGTAGGCAACCTTTGGCAGTCCAGATGTTGTGGACTACAACTCCTTTGAGTCTTTGCTCGCATTAGGGCTGTAGCAGCATTGTGGGAAATTACGTACACAACATCTGCCATACTGAAGTTGTCTACCCATTCTTTAAGCTTTGGTTGGCCTAAAGAGGCCCTACGTTCCTTGAGAAAGGTCTGTTTGTTGGGTTCCACCTGTTTTGTGTATAATTCACTATAGCTGACAGGTCAAAGTATGGCAGCTGGGTTATCAATTTCATAATAGCTTGCAGTTTAGTTACTAAACCCCTCAGAACCAATCTTACAGATTATCCCAAGGTAACAGATTTATCCTGATAAATTAAATTTGTTTTGTACTTGGAACTCTGAACATAGATAAGCCATATTTGTCATAAGACAGTATCAATTACTGATAAAGCATTTAAAAGGCTGATAAGATATTTATTACCGATCAGCGTGATACCTGGTATTCAAAATTGTTTCAAAGTGACCTTTGTAAGGGGCATCTGATTCAAGCTCTAATCGCAAGATATAACAACAAATATGGCATAAAGAAATAAAATGTCATACTGAGGCATTCACGGAAACATAACTTATTTTTCATTTTAAGCTCTTTGTGTAATTATGGGGAAATATGTGTAAATATAATTCTCGCGCCCTCGAGTTATCCACCTGTTCAAAGATGTTTCAGACTGCACGTATAAGGCAAAGTTTTATAAATAAGGTTTGCTGCTGGATTAATAGTTATAACCCAGTCCAGATCTGAATTAAGGTCTATCGTTAGTACCTGACCTGGTTTCAGGTGTTTACAGTGGTCACATTAAACTATAGGTTAAATGAGTGGGACCATCACTTTCTCATTGTTCACATCACCATGTAGACCATGAGTAAGCAACCTTCGACACTCCAGATGCCGTGGAATACATCTACCGTAATGCTCTCACAGCTATTATGCTGACAAAGCATCAAGGGAGATGTAGTCCACATCTGGATTGCCAAAGGTTGCCTACACTTGTTGTAGACATTGAAAAACTGCATATATACCGTATCTAAATTAGGAATTACACTCGAACTAAATTTATGCTAACTAATGTCGTAGACAGTTATTCTTGAGGAGGAACACTCCAAACACTTAAAGCACTTTAGCTTGCTGAGGCGCTTTATGTGTTTTTCATTTACAAAAAGTGCAGATTTTAATATAATTTGTCACTTTTATAAATCAACCTCCTGGCTGTCAATCAAACAACCGGTCCTGTTACTTCCTGGTTGTTTTATAGCTCAATAGGCCATAACTGAGAGAGGTTTTTTTGTGCACAGATAAGTGGAAATCAGGATAACAAGTGCAGGCCCAGAAACAAGAACATAATTCAAAGTGTAATGTCCCTTTATTTATTCTTAAATTTTATCCCCCCAGTGGCTATAATAGATGTAACATTTTAAATAATAATAAACCGTTTTAGCAGTGTTACTTTAAATCTTTTTTTTTTCTCTGACTTAGATGACACATATTAATATGTTTTTTTTAATGCAATCTGCTTGTTTTACAGTGTTCTGATTTGAATTGCTCGATTCCTGACACCTTTGACTGTTTCCATGTGGTCTTCTTGGTTTGAGTTGTCAGATCCCATGAAATTAAGACAGTGCAAAGTTTTAATTCTAGTCAGGGTTACACTATCTTATCTTTGTATTCTCTGCCTATTATCGTCATGGAAATATTACAGTTGCACAACTGATGAAATATTTTCTTGTTTTTTTAGGTGGGGAGCTATCTGTTGCTGTAGAGCCATCTGTACTGAGCACCTTACTGTCCCTTCAGCCTAACTTCCTGGTAAAGTGATAATTCATCTATGAATGACGATAAGAATGATATTCCTGCCCATTTTCTTCATTAACTGTCCAAGTGCTAAAGGAGGTTTAATGCATTTCTGAACTTTGGGTTCTCAAATTGTTAAAGGGTTAGTCCAAGCACTATAACCACTAGAGGTGCTTCAGTAGTTATAATGCTACTGCCGGATACCTGGTCTCCTCTCATGTTGATTTAAATCTGGCTTCTGCAGAGCTGTGTAAGCTGGGTGCCGATCCTGTATCTCATTCATTGTCTGAGAGTGTCAGTCGAGCACTCAGCCAATGAATGTCAGTGTGCTAAATATGCACAGAATTGACATTAGCCAGCCATTGTTCCAGACCTGCTAATGAAGGAGGTGGAGTAACATCTCTGACAGGTAGCCTTAAAATCTCTGTATGTATAGAGTTTCATACCGAAAAGCTATATATACAGGCTCCTTGCACCATGACCACTTCAAAATGGTAATGATGTGAAGTGTAACCCTTTAACCCCTTAAGGACCAAACTTCTGGAATAAAAGGGAATCATGACATGTCATGTGTCCCTAAGGGGTTAAAGAGACACTGTAGTAACCAGAACACCTACAGCTTATTGCAGTTAGTCTGTTGAGCAGAATAATTCCCTTCAGGCTTTTTGCTGTAAGCACTGTCTTTTCAGAGAAAATGCAGTGTTTACATTACAGCCTTGTGATAACTCCACTGGCCACTACTTAGATGGCTACTAGATGTCCTTAAGCAGTCCTGCCTAGTGTGCATCACAACATTCAGTGTCTCTACCCTCTGCATACAGACACTGAACTTTCCTCATAGAGATTCATTGATTCAATTCATCTCTATGAGGAGATGCTGATTGGCCAGGGCTGTGTTTGAATCATGCTGGCTCTGCCCCTGATCTGCCTCCTTGACAGTCTCAGCCAATCCTATGGGGAAGCACTGGCTCAGACCACTACTTCTGATGACAGGAGCTGCAGACTTGAATACAGGAGCTGCAGACTTGAATACAAGTAAGATTTTACTATATTTAGGGAGGCAAGAGAGGGCCAGGGGGGCTAGATGGTGGTGTAACACTATAGGGTCAAGAATATATGTTTCTGTTCCTGACCCTATTGTGTTCCTGACCCTATAGTGTTCCTTTAACCATTTGGTGGAATAAGAGATCTGAGCTCTTAATGTAGAGGTTATCAATGCTGCTAGTTGATGGGAAATTGAATAAGTACGTTTTGGAATTAGGCTAAAATATTATATTGTCATATTTAAAAGGTGACATTTCACCCTGCAAAATACAGAGCCAGATTCAGAGCCAGTTATTCACTAAGGTATAAATTCACCAAAACCAACCAAAGACGCAACAAATTACATTACTGAAGATTTAAAAAAATGTAGATAAAATGCTTGTTCTGTGTCACTAATCTCCTCTCTCAGGATATGAGGCATTCAAATATCCATCATAAGAGCTTTTGTTTTAATTACTAGATTTGTGCAAAAATTAGTTTGGAGTGATTCGTCCAAATCAAATTCCTTTTAATCTACACTCGAACCAAATGATCTGTCCGGGTTTCACCTGTGGTGTCTTATTCAATTAATACAACTTTACAGGTACATCTCAGATGGATGGGTGGATATTTTGGGTGTGGATTAAAAGGAATTTTTTTAAAGAGGAAACATTACGGCCGAATTATTTCAGAAGTTTACTAATTACCAAAAACCATACTTCTTCATAAATGTGTCAAGAAACTGTAACAGTAGAGCAAAGAACCAGTGTAATTTTCATCCATATTTCTTTAAGCATATCACAAGATAAAATCCAAATTCCAGGGCAGTATAATCTCATTTGTTATGCAAATGTCGTACATCTCTATTATAGTGTACGCCTCACTGAATCATGTAGAGTGCAAATTGTCTGGAATTCAAAGTGAATTTAATAGGTTTTTTTTGTATCAACAGCCAAACCGGAATAATTTTCCAAATCTTCAAAAAAAATTCAATTCAGCACAGACACCCACACAATATTGTAAAGCGCTATGGAATCTGTTGGCGCTATATAAATGGCAACAATAATAATAATAATAATATATGTCAGAAAACAACTTTGCAAAACAGAGTTGAGTATATGAAGATAAACAATGCATGAGCAGAGCTGTCCTGGGGTACCCAAAGCCACACCAGGAACAGGTTAGATGCCAAGGATTTGAACTTCTCCCAATTTCAAGTTTGCATCATAACCCCTAACATTTTACATAAACTCTCATAACCCTAGCGTATGAAAAAAGCACATTTATGATGCTATTAACTGTAACTACCCTCTTTCTCAGCAAAGCTATGTCTGACTGAGAGTGATGATTGTTGCAACTCATTTGCACAATTACCTTTTGTTTCAGAAATCAGTTGATTTTGTCGCTTTGAATGTAAACTACAACTGCCAAGATGGAACGCAGTTACAGATATACAAGGAAAAGGTAAGAACTACATTCTTAAATGATGGATATCGTTTATATGTTAGTTTGTACTCTCTGACTTTCTCGCTTGTTTTGTTGTTAAAGGGACACTATAGTCACCTGAACAACTTTAGCTTAATGAAGCAGTTTTGGTGTATAGAACATGCCCCTGCAGCCTCACTGCTCAATCCTTTGCCATTTAGGAGTTAAATCCCTTTGTTTATGAACCCTAGTCACACCCCCTGCATGTGACTTGCACAGCCTTCCATAAACACTTCCTGTAAAGAGAGCCCTATTTAGGCTTTCTTTATTGCAAGTTCTGTTTAATTAAGATTGTCTTATCCCCTGCTATGTTAATAGCTTGCTAGACCCTGCAAGAGCCTCCTGTATGTGATTAAAGTTCAATTTAGAGATTGAGATACAATTATTTAAGGTAAATTACATCTGTTTGAAAGTGAAACCAGTTTTTTTTTCATGCAGGCTCTGTCAATCATAGCCAGGGGAGGTGTGGCTAGGGCTGCATAAACAGAAACAAAGTGATTTAACTCCTAAATGACAGTGAATTGAGCAGTAAAATTGCAGGGGAATGATCTATACACTAAAACTGCTTTATTTAGCTAAAGTAATTTAGGTGACTATAGTGTTTCTTTAACAAGATTTGGGTTGAAAGTTTAGGCTTGGCACCATAACCACTACAGTGCACTAAGAATCCCCTGTCATCATGTCACTGCAACTAGTTAAACCATTTTTGCACAGTTTCACTGTTACCTAGGTGTCCAGGCAACTAATTTCCCGGCTGTTTTCTGATATTTATACCTAGAGCAGAATTTCATAGCTATTTGGGTGAAACATATTTAATGAGGACATCAGTCAACTGACATCACTAATACTAAAGGGGTAATTACGAATTGGCAATATCGGAAAAAAAAGGCCCAGGCAAACCAGGAGAGTGTCAAACCATTCAGAAATGGGGACTCCTAGCACCCTATGTAGTCACTACATATATTATGTCTCACAAGCAAACCTCTCATCCTGAATCACGACAATTAGTATATGTTGTTTTCTTGGCATACTGGCTAGGCATTTGTGGTAAAAACCAAAGAAAAAGTTACTTTTTTTCTTTGTTTTTTATTAAATGTATTGGGACTGATGTGTATTGAAGTCATTGCTGCCGTCCAGGAGTAGTGGGAGTTTGAGTGTTTACTTCTGTGTTTAGGTATGTGGTGCCTGGAATGTACATTACAGATGTCGCTTTTTACAGCTGTAAACAGGGAAATATTGTTCTTCCTCCGCAAACTAAATAAATTAAAAACAAAACATGTATGTGGTAAATCCTGTAATGAGAAGGAACCCTATGTGGTCACCGCCAGTCGGGGTATCCTAGTCACTACATATATTATGTCTCACAAGCAAACCTCTCATCCTGAATCACGACAATTAGTATATGTTGTTTTCTTGGCATACTGGCTAGGCATTTGTGGTAAAAACCAAAGAAAAAGTTACTTTTTTTCTTTGTTTTTTATTAAATGTATTGGGACTGATGTGTATTGAAGTCATTGCTGCCGTCCAGGAGTAGTGGGAGTTTGAGTGTTTACTTCTGTGTTTAGGTATGTGGTGCCTGGAATGTACATTACAGATGTCGCTTTTTACAGCTGTAAACAGGGAAATATTGTTCTTCCTCCGCAAACTAAATAAATTAAAAACAAAACATGTATGTGGTAAATCCTGTAATGAGAAGGAACCCTATGTGGTCACCGCCAGTCGGGGTATCCTAGTGAACCCTGACTGGGCGTACATGCCAGCTGTAAAATTATTATTGTGTAATGCCACAGCAGACAGAAGGCAGAGGACAAACCAAACTGCAATAGGCTCTGTCAGGTCCTACTCTCTCTTCGGTCTGCATGATGTTGTCAGACTTCCTCTCGGCCCATCTCGGCGTCTCCGCAGATGCTGGATCTCCTGTCCCGTGGTGTCCCGATGTTCAGCTGACAATGCAAGTGCACACACGTGCTAACACGCAATAACCGCTAGTCCTTGACAGATGTAGAGGGATATAATGATGGGTTAAGGGACTCCTATCCTAATTGTATTCAATTTTAGGTTTTCATCCAATCTCTGGTGATCATTTTCCTTCATAATGCTTTATATGAGCAATAAAATGGGAACTTATATTATTAAGATTAATATTAATATTATTCCTTATTTAACTACAGGCAAACAAGTACAAAAATGTTTTCCCGAACAGTGTTTGCAAAAGCCTGTAGATTTTACAGTGTTTAACATATTAAACAAAGTAAAATAAACAAGATAATCATAGCATAACATATCTTCTTCCCAATAAAAAAGGATCCCCAAATTTTTCCTGTAATTTTGGAAATAAGACATAAAGGCTGTGTGGGCCTAGAGAGATAATCGGCACACAGCTAACTCTGAATCATTTATTGGCTTGTGACAAAATCTCAGTATTTGCTGTTCTGCTTTACAGTTAAACTAAATAACTGCCATATTCCAGTCATATTATTCACTTATTTTTCAAAATGTTGTACATTGCTTGATTATGTTCAATCACACTATACTCAAGTGATGTAATAAAGCGCTAAAATAGGGACTTTTAACTTTAATATATGAGCTGTCTGTCATTACCTTGACATCTTTGGCATTATTAGGTATGACTGCATTCCTAATGGTAAATTGAACGCAGTTTGTTTTGTGTATCATTTTTCACAGCTTAGCAATAATTCAGTGTGTGACTTATAATGCCAAGTACTTATCGTGCTTGTCCAAATTTTCTTTCTCTCGCTGGTTGTAGGTTGAGCAGAACATTGGCCATGGACATAGTGTTTTGGTTTTCAGTTTGAAACTAAAAGATTGCAACACTCTAACTACGGAATTTAAATACACCCCAATCTTTAAAATATCTGAAGGTAAGTGAGCTTTTTCTCGGGGACAAAGTCCGCCTCATTATCACAAAACTTAAAGAGAGTTCTCAAAAAAAGCCACAAGTACTAGATTAACCCATCAAAGCAGTAATGGAGGTATTGATAATAAAACCAATCAGTAGGAATTCAGCTAAGTATCTGTGGATAAGAATAAGATAGGAATGAAACAAGTTCTTGCCAAAAGAGATAGAGAGCAGTATAATTACTCAAAGCAGGTACGTGGTTAAATATTAATCACAAAAAAAGGGTGCACAGATTGGGATTCAATGCTTTGCGTAACTCTCTTGCATTCAAAAATTCAAATTTAGCATTTATTAATAGAACAGCGGGGACTTATAAAAAGTGACACTAAGAGAAAAGTAATGCAATTGGTTTCCACGGGGATTGTTCAACTTTTAGAATTTGACCCCTCTTTTTTTATTAGTGACACTTGCCTCCATTCTGGGGATACAACTAATCCGAAAACCCAGTAACAACCCAATTAAGATACGACAACAATCTCAATGCACTATGCTTGCACCTTCCTAGTAACTCACTTACAGTAAGCCAGAGCTGTTTAGCTATCATTGCTATAGGCACATCATAGAATGGAAGATGATGTGTGTTTTCTATTCTTTCTCAGTTCCGCGTTCTGTTTAGTTATTGAAAGGTAAGATTAATTACAGTAACTTATTGACAGTGGAGCAGTGTGGAAATTATTTAAATTTCAATGAAAGTAAATCTCAATAGCAGAAGTGGACAATGTTGAAATGATTATTACTCCTGCAATAAAAGCCACACAGTTGTCCATCTGACTCAGTTTGCTGGTCCTATATTTCATAAATATATTAGGAAATGTTTGACATGACAATACAGTTATAAGATTTTATGGTCTGTTTCTGACAATAGGTGCCATGAGATAGGTAGAGTGATAATTACAGTAAGCATATTGTTGTAATATCTAGATCAGTGTTTCCCAACCCAGTCCTCAAGGCACACCTACCAGTCCAGGATTTAGGGATTACCCAGTTGTGTCTAAGGTGTTTTTACAAAGAAGAAAAAAAACACCTTAGACACAACTGGGTAATCCCTAAATCCTGGACTGGTAGGTGTGCCTTGAGGACTGGGTTGGGAAACACTGATCTAGATCACTCTGCAATGGAGCGCCCAAAATATGGAACGAGGAAGCAATAAATGACTCAATTTAGTCTGAAGTGTAGGAAGGCAAATAAAAAGGAGGAAGACGGGAATGGAGAATATTATATACGGTATACAACTTCACCATTAAATGAGTTAAAAAAATTGGGCAGATTTATATTACATCAGTTTTACAAACGAAGTGGCAAGCAAGACGGTCAAATTATGTCAAAGTGAAAGAGTAATGAAAATTCACTAAATTGCCTCCCTGTTAGCTTCTTGGTCTATCTTCCCCGTGACTTCTTCCTTCTTGCTGTAAAGATTTGTGGGTCATCCCTGAGAACTGTGGTCATAGCTAGTAAGTCCAAACTCTGGAGGAATGCTTCTGGATCTTCTGCAGAGGATAGGGTAAGTATGTTGGCACCCTGCTGTACCACAAGTGAGCCATCTGCGTTCCATCGGTATCTAATGGACTGCTCTTTCTATTTCTCCTGGCTGCCGGAGCCAGTTGCCTCTTCTCAGTTAAAACAGAAAATGGAAGGTCACTATATATAGCCACAGTACATCCTTCAAAGTTCGCAGTTCCCAGTGATCTAAAACTAGCCATAATGGTGGCTCTAGCCGCTATGTCTGCTCATTTTGTTGTATTTAAAGTCTGAGTTTGATAAAAACAGATATGCAGAGAGTCCGTGGGTATGACTGGTAGATTCAGAAAGAACAAAATGTAAAAGTGAATGTGATCAATCTGGAATAAGAGTAATATAAATGGAATTTGGAGGTTCATAAACATTTCTGTGAATTGCAGCGTTGACAGAATCCGGAGCCATGTTCATGGGATATGACATCAGCTCGTTTTTAGACCAAACAGCAGTTGGTAAGAAAAGGTATGTGAGTATTTTAAGCATCTTAAATATACAATGAGATTTAACAACATGTCGTAACACTTTTGTGTCTAATAAGCGGCCCAGTTTCTTAAATCTGTTGGCTATTTTCATCTGTTGCTTTTTTTGTGTCCTAATCGTTTTTTGAGTTCTATTTGACTTCACTTTTTCTCACCACTGTAAATTTTCCAGTTTTCTGGAATATAAATTGCTGCAAAAACTAAAAAGAAAACCATCAATTTTATGGAATTTAACCGTCACTTTTCAGAAGACTTTGACGAATATTCTCTTATGTAGCAATAAATAATTCTATTAATAAACAGTAATGGAATGCTGCGTATGGCAATGAGCAACATAAAGTGTAATTCAATACATTTAATGCCACCAGCCTCCTCACATGTTGTCAGCATCAAGCATTGCCTGCACAAGGAAAAATTTCAATTTTATTTAATAAAATGAAAATTCAGGATAAATTCACAGTAAATTTTAAATTTAAGATCAAACAGCCAACTGGAAGCATTATCGTAGTCAGTTGTGCTTTACATTCAGCTACTCTGGCTTTAAATGGGAAATTCACTTTGAATACACCTTGAACTCTCACTTAATTGAGTAAATAACCCAGTTTGTTTTCAATATATGTAGTAAGAGTGTAATTTATCAGTACAGTCAATGCCTCAGTGCTGTTATAGTTCATCCACACAGCTTTTAGATTTGCAATACTAGCCACTGATTGTTAAATTGTACAGAGCTGCAGAATATCTGAAATCATTCACTCACTTATCATTTATTCATTCATTCAATTATTTAACAATTTTGTATACTGCCTTTATAATTTATAAACAATATTAAGAACAGTAAATCTGTATGTGTAATTATAACAGTCAGTGCTGTTATAGTTCATCCACACAGCTTTTAGATTTGCAATACTAGCCACTGATTGTTAAATTGTACATAGCTGCAGAATATCTGTATTCATTCATTCACTTATCATTCATTCATTCAATAATTTAACAATTTTGTATACTGCCTTTATAATTTATAAACAATATTAAGAACAGTAAATCTGTATGTGTAATTATAACCAAGGTAATACTATTTTCCTTGTATTATTGTAGTGTAGAAAACCCTAAAAGCTGGTCATTGTCCTCACGAGCATCGTACAACACAGTTTGGGAAAAATTTGCTAACCAGACAGTCATTGAGAGAGACACCTTCCACCAGGGCACATTTCCCAGTGGTTTTACATGGGGAACATCTACTGCGGCCTTCAAAGTGGAAGGAGGTTGGGCAGAAGATGGGAAAGGAGAAAGCATATGGGACACATTTGGCCAGAATAACCATGCAGATAACAACGCAACCGCCAATGTGGCCAGTGACAGCTACTACAAGACTGACTATGATGTGTATCTTTTGAAGGGTTTGCAGGCCAAAACATATCAGTTCTCTTTATCTTGGGCTAGGATTTTTCCAACAGGTTTCAACACTAAAGAGAATGCCAAAGGAGTAAAATACTACAATAAATTAATCAACCGTCTGCGAGATGCAAACATTGAACCGATGGTCACCTTGTATCACTGGGACCTGCCTCAACCCTTGCAAGATCTCGGAGGCTGGCAGAATGAGATCATTATTGATGCCTTTATGGACTATGCCGATTACTGCTTCAGACATTTTGGTGACCGGGTGAAATTTTGGCTAACATTCCATGAACCTTGGGTTGTTAGTTATGCTGGTTATGGCACTGGAGAGCATGCCCCTGGCATTAAAGATCCAGGAAGTGCCTCCTACAAGGTAAGTTGAGTAGAATATTTTTTTATGAAGATAACAATGCTGCAATAAAAGATTAAAGTTTACATCAGTTGATTTAGTTGGAAGTGATATTGCTGCTCTAATTTTTGTTTAAAGCAATATGTTGCATATCAGGATTTGAGAAGTGATATTACCGTGTATTTTCCCTCGATATTTCTTCTTAAAAAAGGCTTTCCTGAAATGCTGAATTGTGACCCTATTTATATGCTATTCACGCTATATCAGTTACCAAATAATGACTTTTAACATAGGTTATCATCCATATGCAAACAACCAAAAACAAAAAACCCCAGACAGGCTACTATTCTTTGATATTTTTTACCCATATACTGATATTTTTAACCATATTGTATGGATCACCTAAATATGGACAAGGAACCTCTCGTATTGATTATTAATACTCAGAAACATTATGGTGACACTGTTATTATATTACCCACATTTCCTATGTTTTCAGGTGACCCACAATATCCTGAAAGCGCACGCTAAAGCCTGGCATGTGTACAATGATAAATATCGCTCCCAGCAGCAGGGCCAGGTGGGAATCTCGTTGAACTCTGATTGGGCAGAGCCACAGACAGCTAATAACACAGAGGATCTGAAAGCCGCAGAGCGCTATATTCACTTCATGCTCGGTTGGTTCGCCCATCCAATATTAATTAATGGTGACTACCCCGAGGGTCTCAAAACCCAGATTCAACTGAAAAACCAGCAGTGTCCCAGCACAGTTTTCCCACTGCCCGTATTCACAGAGGAAGAGAAATCCTACATTCATGGCACTGCTGATTTCCTAGGAATCTCCCACTATACCTCCCGACTGATCCAAGCTTCCCCTAGCACCAGCTGTGTTCCTGAATACCATAATATTGGGGACTTTACATCACATGTGGATCCATCATGGCCTGAGACTGCCTCTTCGTGGATTAAAGTGGTCCCCTGGGGTTTCAGGAGGCTGCTAAACTATGTGAAGGAGGAGTATGTGAAAGACAACCTGAAGATATACATAACTGGGAATGGCATGCCGACAACATATACTGTAGAGGTGTTTAATGATACAGCTAGGAAGGATTACTTGACTGCCTACATCAATGAGGTTTTAAAAGGTAAAATAATTAACTAATTATTTTCTTTCTTATTATGAGAAATGCATTCTTGTGACATCTGATATATCCTTTGTTACTTTATTTACAGCTGTCTCAATTGATGGTGTGTCAGTCAATGGATACAATGTCAGGTCCCTTCTCGATGGCTTTGAAGGATCTCACGGTTACAGCCAGAGGTTTGGCTTACTCTATGTGGACTTTGAAAATGCCAACAGGCAGAGAACACCCAAAGAATCTGCATATTTGTTTTCTAGCATCATCAAGAACAATGGATTCCCACAAACAATACAGAGCAGGGCTGTAGTTCCAATGCCAAGATGGCCTCATGAAAGAAGGATAGCTCCTCTACCTCCATCTGATGTTCCTTCAAAAGCAAAAGTTGTATGGGAAAACTTTTCTGGTCAAACTGATTTTGAAAGAGACATGTATTTTCATGCCACAATGCCAGATGACTTCAAATGGGGAGCATCAACCTCTTCCTATCAAGTTGAAGGTGGATGGGATGCTGACGGGAAAGGTCCTAGTATTTGGGATACATTTTCCCATGTTCCTGGGAATGTTGCTGATGATAGTAATGGGGATGTTGCCTGCGACAGTTATCACCTACTAGATGCTGACTTGTATATGCTGAGGTCCTTAGGGGTTAAAAGCTACAGGTTTTCCCTGTCTTGGTCTAGAATTTTCCCAACTGGACAAGGCACCCCTAATGCTAAAGGGGTTGAATATTATAACAGACTTATTGATGGCCTACTTGCAAGCAATATCTTCCCTATGGTAACACTGTATCATCATGACCTGCCTCAAGCTCTTCAAGATATAGGTGGCTGGGAAAATGTAACGGTGGGTGATGCATTTCATCATTATGCTGATTTTTGTTTTGATACCTTTGGAGATCGGGTGAAGTTTTGGGTGACATTTAATGAGCCCCATACTACTGTAACAATTGGATATGGAATAGGCAGCATTCCACCTGAAGTCAAAGATCCTGCTTATGCACCATACAGAGTAGCTCACCACCTGTTGAAAGTACATGCCAAGGTGTACCGTACCTATGATACAAAATATCGGCCAACTCAAGGAGGTGTAATCTCTCTGAGCCTTAATACAGACTGGGCTGAACCCAAAGACCCCAGTAATCTAAGGGATATAGAAGCTGCTGACCGCTACCTACAGTTCACGTTAGGGTGGTTTGCTCACCCCATCTTTAAAAACGGCGACTACCCAGAAGTTATGAAATGGCAAGTGGCAAATAAAAGTGACTTGGAGGGTCTGAAATCTTCCAGGCTTCCTGTTTTTACAGAGGACGAAAAAGCTGAGATGCAGGGCACAGCCGACGTTTTCTGCATTAACATCTACTCGACAACAATAGTTACTCACAAAGCAATGAGGATAACCCCAGCATCTTTTGAAGGCGATATGGATGTTGAAACTAGTATCAATACACTCTGGCCATCAACAGCGCTTAGTGAGCACAGGGCAGTGGCCTGGGGACTACGAAGACTACTAAACTGGATAAAAGAAGAATATGGAGATATTCCAATTTATATCACTGAGAATGGTGTGGCTACAGACAATAGCAATGATTATGATGACACCAACCGCATCTTTTACTATAAGACCTACATAGACGAAGCTTTGAAAGGTAAATAGCAAATTCTAATTAGTATTATTGATTATATATAACATGTGAACTAGGGAGTGGTATAAATCCCCACTAACAAAAATGTTTACAGGAATATTCTAATATCATACATAAATAAGTTTATTTTTAACTTTGCATTTAATCTTACCTTTATTACAGCACTAGAATAGACTACACTTAGCAGCCTTCCTGCTTCCATTAAGTCATCGATTTTTATGTCTTTGGTCAAGTCCAATGCTTCTCAAAGAGACAGTGCTCTACCAATACAGTTCTTCCTCAGTAAAGCATTTAATCCATTTTAAACATGTCTTAAATATAATATAATATAAGAGTTTTATTTACTAAACAAAAAAATAGTGGAATTTGACCAATGAACTAAAAATTTTGGAAGAAAATGGAAACTTATTTAGCTCAAGTACTTAAATAAAAAATACTGTTCTTTTGTAACAAAATTTCAGTGGTAGGCAACCTTGCACACAGCCACACTGTGTCTCTGTGTGACACTGTACACAACCAAAACAGAATTACTCTATCTCAGGATGGTAAATAATTCTTGCATCTCTCACACTGTCCACTTCTGCCTACCTCCACCTCCGTCAGGACCAAGTATGGTCCCCTTCCACCCTCTAGGAGGCGGGAGATCCCAGACTTGGGGCAACTGACCTTTTATTAATATGAATGCTTGAAACTGAAACACATACTGTTGTGTTGCCTTTCTCTCCATTCAGCTCACAGTATCGATAGGGTGAATTTAAAAGGATACACTGCTTGGTCTCTTATGGATACTTTTGAATGGAACGTTGGCTATAGAGTGCGGTTCGGGCTCCACCATGTGAATTTTCAGGACCCTAATCGGCCAAGAACCCCTAAACGTTCTGCTCTGTACTATGCTGATGTTATACGGAACAATGGGATTTCATTGGACAAAGAAGATGAGTTTCTCTATGGACATTTCCGCTCAGATTTTGCCTGGAGTGTAGCATCTGCAGCTTATCAGGTAAATACATCTGATACATCACTAAGCTTATCTTCCGTGTGCCTTGTGTTAAAAGGAACAAACTCAAAAACAAAAAAATTCAATTTCGGCCCTCCCCCCAACAAAAACACTTTTAATATACTATACCTTAATATGTTTGATATCATTCCATTGTTTAGTAATTCGTTTAATGTATCACGTTGTGTGCCTCACTGTAACTAACGCAAATTGAAGTTAAGAAGATGATGCAAAGTTTGCAGCTCCTTATGATGGGACCCATCAAAGTGGAAGTCATGTAGTGTATGGATATTTTCAGGTGAGATGTGGGATTGGAAATATTCCACATTCCTACATTTTATTAAATCACTCATTTCTTAATATGTGTTGGGTTTCCACGTCGATGGAAGTCCAGGAAAGGGTGTAAGTGATCAAAGAAGTTTAGTAGTGTCATGAGGGAAAGTGGATCATTGTAGAATACAAATGCGGACTATTATTGATACGTTGTAACTTTAACAAGGCAAGAGGCCCCATCTTGAACAAAACACATCTGCCTGTATTGTACTGTCTTCTTTTCATCAAAATCAAATATTTATTGTAATTTACATAATTAAGGATTGTCATCTAGATGTTCCTCTTTACTAGGGAAGTGATTGTGTTGGAGGCATACAGTCCTTAATTTACAACAATTCACACTGACATCAAGACAGAGCCTATTATAACTATAGCCCTAACCACCCTTTATATCATGGCAGAGTCACGCTTGATTGTGGTGTCTCTCTTTCCCAGTAAACTGAGTAAGCACTCAATGTAAAGCTGCTCACTTTCACTCCAATGTGTTTTGTTCGATTTTATTTTACATAAAAAGTGCATTTTAGAAAACTTTGTAGATTAACTGTATCATATTGGAATATAGAAAATTCAAACAGCGTGTTTGGATAGTATAAAATATGTATGTAAATAATTATACAAGACTCTATAGGACTCTAAATGTCAAGTCCAGTGCTACTAGTCAGTCCTAAAATGTACTTGCCACTGCAAGCATGTAGGGTTTATGGCTCACTGACCAGGGGTGAATTTCTATTCACACAGATAAGGGGAAATGTGTGTGTGTGTGTGTATATATATATATATATATATATATATATTTATTTATTTTTATTTTTTTTATGTTACAGCTTTTTTTCTTACATCATTCCAGGAACTTAACCTAAGAAAAGTATGAGGACACCCTTGAAAAGTGATATAACGTTTTGCTTGTGTTCGACAGATTGAAGGCTCCTGGAGGGCTGATGGCAAAGGTTTGAGCATTTGGGATAAGTTTGCCCATTCTCCATTCAGAATAAACAATGATGAAAATGGAGACGTGGCCTGTGACAGTTACAACAAGCTGAAAGAAGACATAGAACTTCTGAAGTACCTGAAAGTTACACATTATCGATTTTCAATCTCTTGGCCACGAGTTCTACCTGATGGTACAACAAACCACGTAAATGAACGGGGACTGAACTACTACATTCGACTTATTGATGAACTACTGGCTGCCAAAATTATACCCCAGGTGATCATTTAGATCTGTCTAATGTTACATGTAACACGCATATGTTATTTTTATTACAATAAATACATTTAAAAAAAAAAAACAATTAATAACCCCAGTTTCTAATTTCATGAACACATTTTTGGAAACTAACTGACAGATCTTGTTTGGGCCCCCTAAAAAATGGTGGTTTCAAATTAATTTTAAACACATTTGCTAAAATATTCAGCTTGAGTAAGGAAATTAAAATCTAATTCTATTAGTTTGAAGACACAGTTGCTTTTCTTTCAGGTTACAATTTATCACTGGGATCTTCCGCAAGCTCTGCAAGATGTTGGGGGCTGGGAGAATGAAACTATTGTGCAACGATTTAAGGAATATTCGGAATTCCTTTTTGACAGACTGGGAGACAAAGTGAAGTTCTGGATAACACTCAATGAACCATACATTATTGCCAATCTGGGTCACGGGTATGGCTCAGCAGCCCCAGGTATGAACGTACCTTGTTATTTAACTATGGATAAAACATAGCAGTCTGTTATTATTTAAGGGGAAATTGTGAATTAAATCAAATTAATTATTAATCACTCAGTCTTGATTATGGTTATTGTTCAGTAATTCCAGTTAAAAAATAAATACGTTGCGGGCGGAGCCAAGCAGCAAAACCAAAGGTCCACGTGTTGTTACAGCTTTGCACTAAACGGCTAATTTTATACAAATCCCCACGGGCACCTGAAACGGATCCACAGGCAGGCAATAGCACCGTGGGTCAAAAGACCAAGAAGCCAAATCCTAAAAAACCGAGGATGAGCATGAATATAGGAGGTCTTTGGCGACAGGCTAACAGTGCCATGGATACCAAGATGGCCACCTTCACTGACAATGGCTCAGGCATCTCGGAGGATTTCTCAATAGGGGTAGAGGAGGAACAGCTACCTGTACTGTCGACCCCCAGGAGGTCTCCTTCCTCATCAGACTCAGCCCCGGTCACGATGGCGGTCATCAAGGAATTGCTAGCGGGTTTCCAGCGCACAATCCAGACTGATATGGCCCAAATACGCCAAGACCTGCGTGGCCTAGCGGGCCGACTGGGAACACTGGAACAAGACACCTGCCAAAACGCACAGCACACGGCGCTCCTCCAACAAGAGGTAGGTGAGCTACAACACAGAAATAAGGTTCGCTACAATGGAGGATCAAAGGCGAAGTTTAAACATCAAAAAGGGGAATACCCAAAGAAGTACCCGATGTAGACCTGCCACATCTGGTGAGAAGACTCCTGATGGCACTCCTGCCACCCAAACAGGCAAAGGCAGTGGAAATGGAGGGGGTGTTCCGCTTACTGAAGCCAGCCAAAGCACCATCCGCGATGCCTAGAGACTTGCTGATCCGATTTCAAAGGAGCAGAGACAGGCTGGCTGTTATGAATGCAGTACGGCACCACTCTCCATACTCATTTGAGATCATGACACTCTCATTCTACGTGGACCTGTCTGGGAGCACACTGGCATGGCGTCGCATACTCCAGCCCTTCATGTCCGCACTTTGATCAAACAACATCAATATAGCATCTACCCCATCCAAGATAAACAAGGCGCCAAGGGGCTCCTACACACCTTGGATCTCCCACCTGACTCTCTAACTACCACTGGGCCAATAGTACCCAAGGCCCCAACCCAGGCCTGGAATCCTGCCACAGCAACTCAGCTTGTCCCCCCAGTAACCCGCGGCAGAAACATATACGGTTACCACCTGAGGAAACCCAGACAGCCTGCAGTGCCAGGCTTGACTCTTCCTCTTTCAAATCGCTGTTTTAATTTGCAAATAATCCAATTTTTTGTTAGTTTATCATGTTATTAGTTTTAACAGTTTCTTTGGCACCATATATCAGCTAGCTATGTTTAATTGCATGCACAGCACCTTATAAGGGCCTGTAGGTATGCCCTAACTTGGCCACACTCATTCTTTGGGCCCAGGCCTGCACCTTACTTCAAGCAAAATTGTTGAACCAACCCCACCCCGTCGCTGAGGGGTATTCCTCCTGAAAAGCGACAACCTGTAAAACACTCTAACTATACCCAGCAAGTATGTACCCTATAATTAAAAAAATAACCTAATCTCCATGGTGGCAGCAGCCCACCCACTGAGTAACCGCCCAACTTTTACCGATTAAACTACCCAACTACTACCGACTCAGTCACCTGTAAGGCCCTGGCAGCCAACCTACCGACTACAGTTCAAACTACCTAAATATTCAGCTAGCACTAGCATTGGCCCACACAGCCTCCTATGTAACCCTAAGGGAGACACCTCGCTATAGACACACTTAGACCACTTACTTAGGCTGCAACTCCACATATATGTCTTGACTATCTCTTAAATGTATGGCAATTGTTTTGTGTTGTTGTTTCGTTATTCTCTTTCATATATGAACTATGCATAATATGTGGTTTATCAACAACACGTGATCTCATCTATGCAAACTACATCTTCTTCTTTAAAAAATATAAAAATGAAATATGATACCTACGGTTGCCATAAAGGGCATGTTCTGTGATGTACTACTCTACACTATTATGCCATTGTGCCTGTTATGCAAGCTAGTACCTAAAAAATAAAATAAAGAATTATAAAAAAAAAATAAAAAATAAAAATACGTTAGCACGTTAATGGTTTAAAACTCTAGATACATTACATGTCAATAGCACATACAAGAGATCATTATTAATCACTAAAGCACAGGAAGTAACCCATTTGTAGTTTTGGTACCCCCTAAACTTTATGCCAGAAATAGTGGAAAACTTTGACTATAATAGGTTTCTGGGTTTCTGTTGATATGAATGTAATATTTATGTTGCCCCCTTTGTCACATTCTCCCTCAAATTAACAAACATTATAACAATAGATCTCTTTAACCATTAAAATTCTAATGTCATTGTTAATGCAAAAGAGAATATTTGTATCCTGATGTTTTATTCCAAAAACCAAAGGGATTAAATGCAAAAGTCCCTCATTCCACTATAATAAATACAGAATGTACAGCCATTCGCTGGACCAATCAGAGTAGTTTAAATATGAAATGTAGTGAATTCAAACCAAGTTGCTAAATCTAGGCTAAATAGGCCAGCTATGTTTGCCTAAATTTTCTTACATGGTTTTCAGTTCACAATAATTCAGTGTTTATTGAAGATGTTTTTAAGTAACTTATTGAAGAGATCTTGTGTCTTGGCTCTCACTGTGATAGGGCTATATTACCTATCAGCCACAGAAACCACTTATCTGAAACGTAACTTTTTAAGAGAGGTGACAGGGTGCAGATGTCCGTAGCATGACATTAATACCATTCACTTTAATTTATGGCGTGCCCACTTTTTCCACAATATTTTGTAAATGTTAAACTCACTATTTGCCTAGGAACATCCCCATAAGGTCGTCATTTTTTTTTTTGGAGACGGCACTTGTCTTTGTGCCAAAGAAGTTTTATTTAGCCACAATTTCATAATTTAACTGTTTGTACATTTTCATGACTGATAACCTAAATACAAGTATATGTATGATATATTTCTATATAGGATTAATTTACTTTTATTCACTCTACTAAGGAATTTCATCAAGACCCGGTATATTACCTTATAAAGTGGGACATAACCTCATTAAAGCACACGCCGAGGCATGGCATCTCTACAATGATACCTACCGGGCCAAACATGGTGGCATCATATCGATCACCATTAACTCTGACTGGGCAGAACCAAGAAACCCCTACAAGCAGGAGGATGTAGACGCAGCAAAGAGATATATGAGCGTATGTTGTCACCATGCATCTATTTTATTTTACTCATTAAAAGTATGCAATTATACTAATTCTAATGGGTAAGGCAGTGGCTGAGTGACAGGCAACAGAGGGTTGTAGTTAATGGAATATATTCGTAGCTTGGACTTGTCACCAGTGGGGTACATCAGGGATCTGTACTTGGGCCCATTCGCTTTAATATTTTTATTAGTGATATTGCAGAAGGTCTTGATGGTAAGGTATGTCTTTTTGCTGATGATACTAAGATATGTAACAGGGTTGATGTTCCAGGAGGGATAAGCCAAATGGCAAATGATTTAGGTAAACTAGAAAAATGGTCAGAATTGTGGCAACTGACATTTAATGTGGATAAGTGCAAGATAATGCATCTTGGACGTAAAAACCCAAGGGCAGAGTACAGACTATTTGATAGAGTCCTAACCTCAACATATGAGGAAAGGGATTTAGGGGTGATTATTTCTGATGACTTAAAGGTAGGCAGACAATGTAATAGAGCAGCAGGAAATGCTAGCAGAATGCTTGGTTGTATAGGGAGAGGTATTAGCAGTAGAAAGAGGGAAGTGCTCATGCCATTATACAGAACACTGGTGAGACCTCACTTGGAGTATTGTACACAGTACTGGAGACCGTATCTTCAGAAGGATATTGATACCTTAGAGAGGGTTCAGAGAAGGGCTACTAAACTGGTTCATGGATTGCGGGATAAAACTTACCAGGAAAGGTTAAAGGATCTTAACATGTATAGCTTGGAGGAAAGACGAGACAGGGGGGATATGATAGAAACATTTAAATATATAAAGGGAATCAACACAGTAAAGGAGGAGACTATATTTAAAAGAAGAAAAACTACCACAACAAGAGGACATAGTCTTAAATTAGAGGGACAAGGTTTAAAAATAATATCAGGAAGTATTACTTTACTGAGAGGGTAGTGGATGCATGGAATAGCCTTCCAGCTGAAGTGGTAGAGGTTAACACAGTAAGGAGTTTAAGCATGCGTGGGATAGGCATAAGGCTATCCTAACTATAAGATAAGGCCAGGGACTAATGAAAGTATTTAGTAAATTGGGCAGACTAGATGGGCCGAATGGTTCTTATCTGCCGTCACATTCTATGTTTCTATGTAATCACAGCAAACCCTGTCCATGCAGTATAAATACACGATTTCTGGCCTCTCAGTATGTGACTGGGATAAAGAGGCATTAACAGACGCAATGGATGATTTATGAGACCCAGTTACAAGACGGGCATTGCTTGGTACTCCATCTATGCCAATAAATGACTCTTGGGAATCGTGGAGGTGTTGGATTATAATCCAAAACAGCTGGTGGTACACCGAATATTCTCTATTGTGTTGTAGTAGCAGAGAATTAATGAAAGTCAGTTAAATGGCCTACTTTTAGAATATGAAAAAAGTGAACTTAAAGCATACCTCAAGTGGTCCAGACAAATATATGTTAAAGGGACACTATAGTCACCAGAACAACTACAGCTTATTGAATTTGTTCTGGTGAGTAGAATCATTACCTTCAGGCTTTTTGCTGTAAACACTGTCTTTTCAGAGAAAATGCAATGTCTAGATTACAGCCTAGTGATAACTTCACTGGCCACTCCTCAGATAGCTGTTAGAGATCCTTCCTGGGTCATGGCTGCCTAAAATGCATTCAAACATTCAGTGTCTCCTCCCTCTGTATGCAGACACTGAACTTTCCTCATAGAGATTCATTGACTCAATGTATCTCTATGAGGAGATGCTGATTGGCCAGGGCTGTGTTGGAATTGTGCTGGCTCTGCCCCTGATCTGCCTCTCTGTCAGTCTCAGCCAATCCTATGGGGAAACACTGTGATTGGATCAGGCCACCACTTCTGATGGTGTCAGCAGGCAGTGGGCAGGTCTAAGGGAAACATTGACAAACTATGCAGCTGCAGGCTTGAATTCAAGAATTCAAGATTTTACTTTATTTTTAGAGGCATGAGGGGCCCAGGGGGGCTAGATGGTGGTTTTAACCTTATAGAGTCAGGACTACATGTTTGTGTTCCTGACCCTATAGTGCTACTTTAAATGAAAAAGCAGGTCCCTAAAATTTCAAGTTTTACACTAGCAGCCAGGTGTTAAAGGTACTTGCCACTGCAAGCCTAGATTGTCCATGGCACACTCTTCACTCACCAATGAATAGTGGGTGAGTGGATATCTGGAGCCCTGAAAAAGGATAACATTTCACATTTAAACTGTGTTTCCAGGATTGCTAGCCGAATGTATAGATTGTGCAAAAAAAAAAAAACTAAAGAAAGATATGGACTCTAATCTCACCGGTAAATAAAATTTTAACCCAGTACTAACGAGTGTTACCTTAGTGCATTACTACAAAGTTCTAAAAGACAAATACAAAAAAATTCAGTGTTTAGTGATATGACTAAAAACAAGGACTATAGGCGCTCTCTATAGTGCAATAGATATGTTGGGGCTGCTGTATACAATACAAGGATTCCCAAGACCTCGTGTGGTAATTGAACAGAAAAAGATATGGCGTGTACCGCGCCCAAAATCATACGTACATAAAACTTCAGAGGGTATGATGTTATAAACCTCAGGATTATACAAAAAAAAAGACAATAATGGTACAGTACAATTTGATAAAGTACGGATAGTCGATATAGTAACTATAGGAGAACCACTCACATTTGGTAGAGCTATATTAGAGCTCTGCTGTATTGCGCGTGGGCAGTTTAATTCCCGTCTAAGGATATATGGTGGTATAAGTAGTGCTGGTCCTCCAGATGCAAATGTAGATATGGGTGGTGAATATGGAAGTAGAAGAGCAGAAAAATCTGATGGTGAAGTAAGTACTTTATATTTGAATTTTAAGAAGAAGTAATGTACTTACATTTTTAAGAGCAAGGCCTGCTCTAGCTATCACAGCATGGGTGGGATAATCCCCACCTTGGGATATGATGGTACCAGGTAGCAAACGGGAAACAAAATAGTTATATGAATAAAAATAACTATTTATTATAAAAAGCATATTAAAACATAGCATAGTTTTAGTGATATGACTGTCCACCTAAATTTACAGAGTGAGAGTGCAGCACTACAGGGTAAATGGACACTTGTCCTTCAGTACCACATGTTAGAACGATGCTGTCATAAAGGTCAAACCAAACCAAAAAGTATATATAGTGTGATATTGTTAAACCATATGCATAAATAATATTTTTTCATATCCCAACTCCCATTCTTTGGAGCCTCTTTTGATACAGGCTCTAAACAAGCAGATTTTCGTGCACTATTCCAGGTGGCAACCAGACCTTTCTTCAAATTGTAGTTATTAATTTATATAGCAAATCCACATTCCTTCAAATTCTCACCTTATTCAGAGTCTGTGAACCTGGCTCTGAGAATAAGCACTTTGTGTCAAACTATTGGGGTTACACTCCACCTTCAGGACCAGGAAATAAAAGTGCTCCGTGCAACAGGATTAAGGTAAGTATGAAATTATAACTATGTATTGAACATAAATAAAAATGAATATAAAAAAATATAAAAACATATAAATAAGTCCAAAGTAAACCTCTCTCCTTAGCCAAGACGCGTTTCACCCTCCTTGGGCTTTCTCAATCGGCATGTCGCTGTGCTGTTCCTGGTTCCCCTTTTGAATGAGGCTTGGGGCCACCTTCCTGTCCCTCTGAACCAATCCTTTCTTTACCTGCTCAGCGGTTCTTCTTTCCTAGTGTGAGTTCCGGCTGTTTGTAATTCTGTGCTGTAATCCCAATTATTTCAATTCCCCGACTACATAGTCCATAATCCTCCGGTTCCGGAAGTGACATGATATCCCATTTCGTCACTTCCGGTTATTTGTGCACTACAGACCTGGGGGAAAGAAATATAAAGTGTCCATCGGCTAAATGCCGGCACGTCACTTCCACTTTATGACGTGACGTGCTGTGTGGCTACATTACCCATATTGCTAATGTTGCCACCTGGAAAAGTGCTCGAAAACCTGTTTGTTTAGAGACTATATTATTGTTATTATTGCCATTTATATAGCACCAACAGATTCTGTAGCGCTTTACAATATTATAAGTGGGGGGATTTAACTATAAATAGAACAATGACAAGAAAACTTACAGGAACGATAGGTGGAAGAGGACCCTGCTCAAACGAGCTTACAGTCTATAGGAGGTGGGGTATAAAACACATTAGGATGGGAAATAGCAATTAAATAAGGTGGGAGTGAAGCAGAGCTGGAGGAGAGAGTAGAGTGCTGCCCTTTAGGAGAGAGAAAGAGACAGGTATATGAGGTAGAGGTTACTCTGGGAGGCCATAAGCTTTCCTAAAGAGATGGGTTTTAAGGCACTCCTTAAACGATTGAAGACTAGGGGAGAGTCTGATGGCAGTAGGCAGGCTATTCCATAGGAAAGGAGCCGGCCGCAAGAAGTCCTGCAAGTGTGAGTTGGCCGTATGCGTACAGACAGGAGAAGGTCATGGGCAGAGCGGAGAGGCCGAGAAGGGACATACCTATGGATCTGTGAAGAGATATATGAGGGGCTAGAATTGGTCAATGCTTTATAGGTATTGGTTAGTACTTTGAATTGACTCCTATAGGATACAGGAAGCCAATGTAAGGACTGACAGAGGGAAGAGGTGTGAGAGGAACGACTAGAGAGGAAAATCAGTCTGGCCGCAGCATTCATTACAGACTGTAGCGGGGCAATACGGCTTTTGGGAAGACCAATCAGGAGAGGGTTACAATAATGCATGCGGGCAATTACTAGAGCATGGACAAGCTCCTTAGTAGCATCTTGCTTAAGAAAGGCGCAGATGCGGGCTATGTTTTTAAGATGGACTTTACAGGATTTGGTAACATACTGGATGTGAGGCTCAAAGGTGAGGCCAGAATCAAGTATGACACCAAGACAGCGCACTTGCAAGGATGGACTGAGGTGGATACAACTAACTTAAAGGGAGAGCTAAAGAGTAGGATCAGTATTAGGAGAAGGAAAGACAAGGAGCTCAGTTTTAGAGAGACAGGGTTTCAGAAAACAGGAGGACATCCAGTCAGAGATGGAAGAAAGGCAAGCAGTGACACGTTACAGGACGGCAGGGGTATATATAAAAAAAAGGCTCTAAAGAATGTGAGTTGGGATATGAAAAATTATTATTTATGCATACAGTTTAACAATATTACACTATATATACTTTTTGTTTGTTTTTTTACTTTTATGACAATATCGTCCTTACATGTGGTACTGAAGGACAAGTGTCCATTTACCCTGTAGCGCTGCACTCTCACTCGGCAAATTTAGATGGAGGGTCATATCACTGAGTTTTTTGTATTTGTCTTTTAGTACTTTTTGGGTTGTTTGGAGTGGCCCTTTTGAGTGTTTAACAGCATCTGAAACTTAATATATCTGTAAGCGCCTAGTCATCACATTTTTTGTAATACATTTTCATTACTACAAAGTTCCCTGTAGGTGGCGCTGCTGGTGCTGGATAGGAGGTAAGTATTTAATCAACATCTCCTAAAGTCATGGAATATATAATGTATCACAATGATAAATTATATACTAAATGCCTAACGAGATATTATTGCTTGAAGTGAACATGTCCCGACACACTCACTTTAAAGATCTATTCCGGCCCTGCTATTAATTAGAGTGTGTAGTCTGGATTTTTTTTTTCTCCAGAAAAGTCAATTCTCATTTATCAGTAAAACGGAAAATATTTTTTTCAATTTAACAAAATAAAAAAATTTTTGAGTTTCAAATTCTTTGATTAATAAGTTATTGTTATTAACAGAACTGTCATTTTTGAGATTTATGCACAAACAGATAATACACAAACAGTTAAAGGACCACTATAGTGCCAGGAAAACATACTCGTTTTACTGGCACTATAGTGCCCTGAGGGTGCCCACACCCTCAGGGACCCCCTCCCGCTGGGCTGGATGGCGAGGAAGGGGGTTAAACTTACCTTTATTCCAGCGCCGGGCGGGAAGCTCTCCTTCTCCTCTCCACCTCCGATCCTCCTCTTCGGCTGAATGCGCATGCGCGGCAAGAGCTGCGCGCGCATTCAGCCGGTCTCATAGGAAAGCATTTTTCAATGCTTTCCTATGGACGCTGGCGTCTTCTCACTGTGATTTTCACAGTGAGAAGCACGCAAACGCCTCTAGCGGCTATCAATGAGACAGCCACTAGAGGCTTTAGAGGCTCGATTAACCCATTTATAAAATGTTTATAAAAAAAAGGGGTTAATCCTAGAGGGACCTGGCACCCAGACCACTTCATTAAGCTGAAGTGGTCTGGGTGCCTAGAGTGGTCCTTTAATAACGGGTTATGCAATATATTTTCTTATCTCACGCATTTTTCTATTATTATTTAATTCATAAGGAATGCATTTCATTAAGGGCACGGCCAGGGCAATCTATGTAAATTAATTAACCCCTGCAGTGCCGTAGGTGGGGATACATGCACATGTATAGTACAGCAGGATTAAAGGAATGGCCAAGCTTACATGCGCCCGTATGTCAATTCTCTGTAGAAATGATAAGCATACTATAGATATCATGAGCATTAAGTCACCTTGAACTCAGAAGTGCAGCAGATGTAACTGTGTTTTTTACATATGTCTGCTGTTAGTTCGGGGCGAAACAAGGAACTCTCACTTCCGAAAAGTGACAGTTCAACTTTATTTAAAAACTATAAAAGTGAGATACAACATAGTAAAGTTTTGCTCTAGTGATAGTCCTTTGTATGCAGCAATAAGTCATGAGAATGTTATTTATAATAAAGGATTTTCATGTGTGCGATGTAACCTGTGCAAACGCTTGCAAATTTTCATATGGATCCACTATGCTGCTTGTACATGCAATTAACAGGTTAAAAGTTCAATTTTTAATTTTTTTTAATCTATTTTTTTGGGCTTAGTTTTACGGTGGATGGTTTGCAAATCCAATTTTCAAGAATGGTGACTACAATGAAATCATGAAATCCAGGATTCGGGAGAGAAGTCTTGCTCAAGGACTTACGACATCACGGTAAAAACAGAACATCTTTGGAGACGAATATTTAATTCTCTATCACAATATTATGGGGTATTTTAACAAAAACATTGTATTTGTATAATTGTCTTTAATTACATGTAGACTTCCAGAATTCACAGAGAGTGAGAAGAAACGGATAAAAGGAACATATGATTATTTTGGATTTAATCATTACACCACCATCCTGGCGTCTCCCATCAATTTCCCACAAGCTATCCAATCATATGACGCTGACAGGTAAGACCTAACAAAATAATCTTGCTGTACAATGTAAAGGTACGACTCTCCATTACTTAGCTGCAGCCTGAATGTTATGTGTCACTTGTATATCTTATGATATGCTACAATATAACTATGATGTTACTAAGAGCACCACAGACTGCTTGTACAGAGGACCTTGCATTCTACAGCTAGAGAAACTGTATTCCTGCTTACTGCTTTTTCAAACAAGCTTTGCTTTATAATGTTTGGGTGTAGACAACTCATACTAAGCATAAGAAAGTCAAACAATTCTTTGCTAAGTGTTCCCCTACTATCCCATATGTCCATGGGGGGGTCCGGGATGATAAACACAAATCTTTTCACTTTATGTCCTGGTATGTAGAGGTACAGATTGGGGAAAAGATCCTATACCAGGGGGGCAATCTCTTCTTCTTTAAGGAATTTTCTGGAATTTCTATGGTATCAGAATCTGATTTCTATTTCTGCGATACTCTGACTATTCCTCTCTCTTAATATACACTCCCCCTCTTACCCCCCCAATGCTTTTCTATGGTGACGCACTGGACTGGGGCAGCATTTTTAATGTTAAAGTGTTCCTTTAATGGTGCTCATTTTATGGACCTTTGGAAGAATGACTGGCTGCATTTACTTAGTCAGAAATTAAACTTCTTATTCTGAAAAAAAGTATCTGGAGATATATCCACTGAGCTATCTCACGAGCTAGTATTAACAAATATTCGCACCATTTAAGATTCAGTTAATTTTGTTTCTTCCTATTAATCAGCCGTATCACATGTGCACAATAGTTATCCTGAATATCAGTGAGACACCCTTGCTCTTGTCTGCTTTCACAGGGCTGTGAATCCTATGACCGACCGAAGCTGGCTGGGTTCCGGCTCCATTTGGTTGAAAGTGACACCGTTTGGTTTCCGAAGAATATTAAACTGGATAAAGGAAGAATACAACAACCCCCCAATTTATGTAACCGAGAATGGCATTTCGGAACGTGGGACAAATCTGAATGATAAGTGGCGAGAACATTACTACAAGCTTTATGTGAATGAAGCATTGAAAGGTAACTGGAGAGACAAAGTGCAACGAAGCCCCAAAGCCCACCACCTGTTATGTCTCACAAATATATATATATATTATAATTATTATTTTTTGTATGTTTGGACTTGATGGTTTGCGGTTTATTTTTTATGTCTTTTTTTAAATTGTGTAGCTAGATTATAATGGAAAATGGTTTCCTTGTTCCTTGCCACAGCTGTCAAGTACGATGGTGTAGACCTCCGAGGATACACAGCTTGGTGTCTAATGGACAACTTCGAGTGGGCAACTGGATACGCTGAACGATTCGGCTTGTATTACACAAATTACTCAGATCCAAACTTACCACGTATTCCTAAGCAGTCTGCAGCGTATTACAGAACTCTCATGCAATGCAATGGGTTCCCTGACCCAGCCGATGGACCTCATGCTTGCCTGGAGACACCGTCAGAAGGTGAGTGAGCAGAGGACACTCCCCATCAAAAAAGCCTGTATATTAGTGAAAATAAATATATGTCATGAATCCCATGTTAGGTACAGCTTTCAACTATTCAATTATAGAACTACATGTTCCCAACGGGAGGTAGATATAGAAGAAAAAAACACAATAGTAAAAAAGGCTAAAAAATAACCAACAACATTAACAAATGTACAAACTTGCAAGGAGAAAAGCCAAATTTTTTATGAAAGGTGCCAGATCAGGAAATGCTTGGGATCCATTTTAATATACATAAAACTGAGGAAAGCCCAATAGTGTAGTATATCACAACAATTTATAGTACTAATAAATAGTAGATCTTATGTAGTCCTACTCACTCTCTTGTAGATAATGTCATGCATCTCATAATTAATTATATGTGTGACCTACACAGAGTTAGATAAAAGGCACATACGTAAATATCAGGGACCATCGAAATACCTGTAAGACAAATGCGTGAGTTGACATCCGAATGGCAAAATTAAGGCCAGATTAGCACATAGCTCCATTATAGTCACAGCTAACCTATTTTAGGCTAATATTTGAGATTCCATTTACAATTCCCTGTAATTAGGAGCTTAGTGAATAACCCTGTAAATGTTATTTTAATTCTCTGTCGATGAGCGTAAACTTCAGACGATTTCGGAAGTTATATCTCAATTATAGGTAAAGTTCTTAGTTTGATTTACTTGCATTATGCGGTGTTAATCATTTATATGAATTGTTTAATTATATTTGCAGTAGAAGTCTATGAATTACAACAGATCTTGTGATGTGTGTGCTATGTGTTATTCTAGGTACAACTGCAATTCCAGCCAAAACCTCTGGGGGTCACACTGCTGTCGTTACAGAGCCCATAGAGAAAGATGAATCTGACTTCGTTGACTTTCTCGGTCTAGAAATTTCTACTTCGGATGCGATGATTGCTTTATATGTAGAATTCGCCCTCTTAATTGCAGCAGTTTGCAGCGTTATCTTGCTTTCAGTCCTTTATGGCAAGTTAAAGAAAAAATATAAGTTAGCAAAATTACTGTAAGTGGTAATGTCCCATAATATACTGTGGTTTTTAAAAAAAACATTTTGTAAAATTCTATACTTCTGACACTAAATACACAACGGAAGAAAACTGACAATTCAAAGTGAATTCCGTACAAGCTCAAATCGAAGGCCAAGGTAGCTGAATTGGAAAATTTATTCAAGTCAGCTAGGCTTTCAGTTCGATTACTTTGGCCTTGAATGTTAAATTCACTTTGAATTGACTTTGGATTTCCGAAAATCCTCCATTAGTAAATAACCCTGAGAATGAACAATTAAAATATATCTACATTTCAAATTAGAGCCCTCCTATATGTTTTATCACATAACAGTCCTCACATGGCCTATTCACATATCTTCAAAATTCACACATGCTTCTGGCCTTTATTATGAGACTTATTCGTGACATGATCAGCTGTTACGGTCTTTAATTGCTAAGCAGAGTTTGACAAATTTCTCTAACTTGGCTATATTGGCCTGAATAGAAGTTTCCTTTGCCTAATTGATATTCGTATCTGTTATATATGTATCTGTATCTTTATTATACAACTGGCACGATCCACAAATTGTTCTGTATAATAGTACATTCATTATATTCCCCTATGCTGCTAGCCACATGTCAAATCTGTGTAATTTTTAGGACTCTGCTAATGTGAATCACTAAATACAAAATTGTGAAACAAGTATAATCTGTGTAAATAAATATGCCCTCAATAAACATCAGAAATGACTGACATTTATCTATATGTCGCCTCTGCTGTCTCATTTCATTACAATCTTTAACAGAATGCTGATAATTGTATTCTCCAAGAATGTATGCAAGGGCCCACTGCATAGCAGATACAAAACCAGGAACAGACATTTTCACGTTTTCGTTTGCATATTCTCTCCTCCACGTTAACACGTCTCCTTGGGATTAAGTGCAAATCTGTTTTAGAGAAATATATATCCCAAAGCACCTCTTTAAAGTAAAAAAAATAAATAATAGAAAATAAATAAATAAAATTAATAATATCATTCACTAAATTAAATATATAAATGTAGCTCAACATAGCAATATATAAAAAAAAAAAGAAAAACCAAATCAAAACTAAATGGGGGTTAAGATTTTTTAATTTGTGTGCTCTAAATAGATATTTCTCAATGGTTTTAAAATTATTTAATCTTTTGTATCTTTTTTCTTTTTGTTTTCACTTTTAAATCAAAACCATGTTTAGGTCACACGTCATAAAAAAGATGAACTTTAAAACGTGTGATTCAAAGAACGCTAAACACATTATTCACAATATTAGTTCATTAATAGAAAATGCAAAAAAATGTTTAATTCAGACTTTGTCAAGGCCATGATATTCCCCAAAAGAGGATTGCTTTGATACACCACAAAAGATCAAATTTTCTTAAAGGAACACCATAGCATTAGGAACATGTATTCCTAGTTAGATGACCGTCTCTCCCCCTCCCCCCTAATGAAATAAAAAAAAGGGAAGTTTACTCTCCTTTCTTCATCAGTCTTGATAATCTCAGCCAATCCAATGCTTTCCCATAGGGCAGAGATCAGCAACCTATGGCACGTGTGCCATGCATGGCAATTGGGCTGCCATTGCACGGCACTCAAGGTTGCCAGAGCAAAACAGGCTCCGACCTATCAGGAGTCACAGTGAGATATCTGCTAGGACAACCTGAGCGGTGATTGCAGGTGGCAGCCCCTGCTCTTGACCTTTATCTGCACCTCAGGGAATTCACTCACACTGCTAAATACAAGCATCTCTAGTAGAAGCCTCCCCCTCATACAAATAATACAAAAACACACAGTACCCAAAACGGTGGTGTTCGGCGTAAGAATGGGACCAGGAAATCCCCCAGTTCACCCAACTTCAGCCCGGGGCTCACAGTGACAATAGTACTCTGTGTATTAACTGTGTTTTAGAGGGTCTGGGGCAAGGTCCATCATCTGTGGAAAGGAGGCTGGCCTCCAAGCCCCTTCACAAGCCCTAGGAGGCATGGAGGCATACGGTTCAAACGAAATCTTCCAAAATGCACTCCCATAATGTATTAGGGGAGATGTAGTCCACAACATCTAGAGTTCCGAAGGTGTCCTAGCCTTGAGTAGGTGAACACTTAGACACAGTAACTGCAGAGCCAGACATTAGTAGCAGTAAGCAGGTTGGAGACTGGTCAGTATATTTCGGCTGCGAAAATCTACTGGCTCTTAATAATAATGATAATAGTTTATGGCTCAGAGTTCTGCTATTTCGGATTACAATTTGAAATTACACTTCAGAACATTTTCTGGTTTGTGACTGACTTTATTTACAATAAATATTTAATTGTTTTATAAAAACCAAAGAGAAAAAGAGTTACCTGCGCTCAGGTTATATAGGTTATTTAGTAACTCCAATGGCCATTAAATGCAAGCCCAGCTTTTTTTTTGCCCTTCCTCACCTTTCTTCCCTTTTCTTTTTTTCAATTGTATTCCGCCAGCTACTGTTTTTATTGACTTGTTGATTTTATGTCCTGTGTCCCACAAGGTCCACCTGGGCGGCAAACTTGTGGGGAAACTTGTATGCTCCATTAAACCTTCAGTTCTTACTTTACCCTCAATGGTGCAGGGCCAGCAAGATTAGGATGAAAGAATGCACGGAAACACAAGCCCACCAGATCCTTTATATTGCTGTCATAGGGTTTATTAAAATGGGTGAGCTTGCTAGTACTGATATCCCATGATATCATATCGATGTGGTTTGCTATGACACTGCTTAAACTAAATCAATTCTAACGGTACAGCTTAAGCAGGGGAAGGAAACATTTTAAAGGACCACTATAGTGCCAGGAAAACATACTCGTTTTCCTGGCACTATAGTGCCCTGAGGGTGCCCCCACCCTCAGGGTCCCCCTCCCGTCCGGCTCTGGGGAGAGAAAGGTGTTAAAACGTACCTTTTTTCCAGCACTGGGCGGGGAGCTCTCCTCCTCCTCCTCTCCTCCCTTTTCGGCTGAATGCGCACGCGCGGCAAGTGGTCTGGGTGCCTACAGTGGTCCTTTAAGATAAAGGTTTTAAGCACAACATGTCATGCATTTAGCTGACAGCTGTCTTGACAGGTATCTCTGAATCAAATAAATCGATTTGTTGTAGAACCCAATTAAATGTAGTCTACCTGAAATGGTTATAAAACGCTTTCATAGCTCCTGGAGACATCTTTACATAAATCAATATGTTATCTAACAAGACTTGTAAACCTACTCGCATTGAGATTATGAGCATTTATGGCTGGATTTATGCATCATCACGTGTATAAACTTCTCCTACAGTCCTTTTGTAATCTTTTTTTTCCTGCTATGTTTACTGGTTACATGTGCTGAGCTATCTTTTTCACACACCTATTTTTAAAGTAATTAATTGCATTTTACAACTACGCTACGTTTTTATGTAAATATTATTGACTTTGACCGGGCAATAGAACAAAACAAACACTTTGCTTATAAGGAAAAGTTCTCTTATTTTTCACACAGCAAGACCCCTCTGTATACTATACATGTTTATGTTTGAGCAGTCACACAGTTGTCTAGGAAGTAACAGAACTTTATAGTTGTATGGTGATTATTATACTAGAGACATGCATCGCATGCATGAAAAGCTCTAGCTAACCATTAACTAACCATGGTAGAAGGACATGCAGTGCCAGTGGACGTGGCAATACGAACTGTTGCAACATGAAAAGGAAGGATTGGTAAAAAACATTTGTTTCTTGGGTGTTGAATCAGACGTAAAAGACATGCTGCTAATCCCACTATCCTGAGACTGCAGCACTATCCTCACGGCTAACGTGTTCAAACTCTCGGAAGCCATGGCACCACTGCTGATAGTAGATTAGGAAACAGGACTCCTTCCTGCACCCCTACTCTCCCTTAATTTTGTTTTGGGATTGGAACATGACATTGATGATGGTGGGCATGTCTTTTTTACAATAAATTAGGGATATGAAGATTGTGTATACAACTTTACTGTTGCTAAATGTGTTGGTTCCTGGTGGATTTACTACGGTGATGTTATAACGTTTTACATTAAGAAACACACTACTTTCCACGGCAGACAGCAGGGATATAGGAGACGTGTTGAGGCAGCCTGCACAGCCCAGAACGCTCCGTGCAGAGGATCAAGGGGTGAGCACCAAGGCGCAGAGGGAGAAAGAACCCACGCTACTCACACAGGCAAGTCTTATACAATCTCTTGAGACCTCTCATGGGTCGGCCCCCACTACCAAAAATGCTTGAAAATCCTGTTTGCAGACATACATAAATTATGGGCAGCAGACTTAAAACTGTTGAGAAATTACATACAAGCCATCACAGACCGGGTGCAAACCGCCGAAGAGGACATCCTTGACGCCACATCAGACATCAAAACCCTTAAAGAGACAGTGCACCAACTTCAAGCACACCACTCACACTTCTCCCTTCAACTCACGGCCCTAGAAGACAAACAGCGCTGAAACCCCATTAAAATACGCGGCCACCCTGATGAAGTTACAGCCGTGGCGCTCCCACACTATCTCCACAGGTTACCAACCACCATATTACCCCACGCTACCGCCAAAACGATAGTCATAGATGGGGTACATCGCATCCATAGCTCTACCAAACTGACACCTGGAGTAGCAAGGGACGTCATCCTCAGATGCCTAACCTTTCAAGACAAAACCCGAATCATGACAGACCTGAGAAACAAAACGCCTCTGGCCTTTGAGGGCTCCTCCTTGTCTTTTTTTTCCAAGACCTTACCAAAAGCAAACTACTCTGGCGCAAGTCGATGGGTTCTGTCACCTCACAATTGAGAAACGCAGCCATCACCTACCGCTGGGGAGCCCCGGGGTCTCTAATAGTACCCCACAATGGAACTAATCACACCATTACCTCTGTCGAAGGGGCAGAACAGGGGACTGCAATCTGACACCACCACCGAAAATTGGGACCCAGACCACATCACCCCCTTTGTCCCAAGGAATGGCAACTCTCAAGCTACTAACACCTGAACACACCTGAGTCTGGAAATGGAGAACTGTCTGCGAAAAAGCTTACTAACCCTGTTGAGACATTGTTATCTCTCTCTCCTCTATTCTTTCATACCTACCATGTTTATGTAGAACGCATAGCAATTGCAGACGACTAATACCGAACTGGCCCACAACCTGAAGTCTCCTGACTTCTCACCCCCCAACCCCGCTGTCCCCTAGGTCAGGGGTACTTCATAGAAACAGAGGTATAACCCCCACACGCTGGGCGGTCTAACACTACTACTCCACACCTGATATGCCCGATCTCAGGCCACCAGACAATCTTTAGAATGCGACCTGGGTGAACACCTACAAACCTCCATGAGCTAAAATATGCTGACCCCCCTCCAGCCCACTAGCTATAGACTCTTGAGCATATTAACACCCAAAGCACGGGAACACCTGAGAGCTTCCACTCCTACAGCAACCCCCTTATCCTGTCGCTCCTCTCAGACACATCCCGGAGGTTGAATTATGTTGCATTATGAGAAAAAAAGGGTGCCACACTACTATGTTCTTGTAAAACCACTCTGTATACCTGCATCTTACAAATTTGCCATGTACCGAACCATGTCTTTGCAATGCACCACCAAAATAAAGAATTCTAAAAAAAAGAAACACACTACTGAACACACTCAGAGAAAAAATAAATTAAGATTTTCTTTCTCCAAACAGATAACAAAAATAATAATAATAATAACTGTATAGTGGTAATCTAGTCTCACTAGGAACAAAGAAAAAATGACAAATGACAAAATAGCAATCTCCTGTCTCCCACTCACTTGTTTCAAGTGCCACTGGAAGGAGCTAGTTATAGTTTCAAAGTAAGCCTTGTCTCCGGCTAAAATCATTGACGAGGCAAGGCAAGAGGAACTTTTTCTTTATTACTGAACACCACACATTTTAAACAAATATTTTTTTCCAAACAGTTAACAAAAAACAAAAAACCTTTTAAAAACTCTTTATGGTCTCACACTAAGAACAATGACAAAATGTCAATCTCCTATCTCCCACTCGAAGTTGTTCAAATTCTCCTTACAGTAGCTAATAGCTAGATACGCGTTCAGTACGAACTGCAATTTGGCCACATTTGGGTTGTTGGCGAAAATCTAAATTTTCGAGCAGTTCCCCCAGATTCGGGTGTGTGACTGCTCGTAAATTTGAATTTCGTCCAACAATCCAAATGTCCCAAATTTGGCCAAATTGCAGTTCGTACTGAGACAAAGCTCCAAGTCTAATGTTCATCATTTTCCGTACCCTAGTACAAATGGAGTTCAAGGAAACAAACTGCTTATGAAAACAGTTTCATGGCACCCAAACACGTCTTTACATAAAGCAATGTGTTATCAATACTTATAAACCTACTTGTATTGTGATAATGAGCTTTTATGGCTGTGATTAAGCAACAGGCCATTTTTAAACATGCACTTGGTTATCTAGTTCTGAACAATTCTATTTTTAAAGTAATTACCGTATATACTCGTGTATAAGTCGATCTCATGTATAAGTCGAGGGCAGTTTTGTGACCAACAATTGTGAAATATGCTATGCCTCGTGGATAAGTCGAGGGTAAAACTTGGGGCTATGAAATTCTGTGATTTTTAGAATTATATACACACACACTCATACAAACACACACTCTGCATTATATACGCACACACACATACAAACACACACACGCATTATATACACACACTCTGTGTGTATATAATGCAGAGTGTGTGTGTGTGTTTGTATGAGTGTGTGTGTGTGTGTGTGTGTGTGTGTGTGTGTGTGTGTGTGTGTGTGTGTGTGAACTGGGTGGGAGGAGGGCATTTTTATTATAATTTTTTTATATATTTTAAGTTTTTTTATTTTATTATTATTATTTTAATATTTTAAGTTTTTTATTTATTTTAATATTTTAAGTTTTTTATTTTAATATTTTTCATTGTATTTTTTTCTTATTTATTTAATTTAATTTTCGTCCCCCCTCCCTGGCAAGCTAACAAACAGGGAGGGGGGACGAAAATTAAATTAAATAAATAAGAAAAAAATACACTCCCTGGTGGTCCAGTGGATAGCCCATCCACTGGACCACCAGGGAGTGTATTGTGTAGGAGGGGGGCTGGCAGTGAGATGTTACTTACCTTCCTGCAGCTCCTGTCAGCTCCCTTCTCCTCCGTGCAGCTCCTCTGTC